CCTAATTACCTTCCACTACCAGCGATAATCTAGCGCTTCCGTCGAATTTCCGCTTGCCAGGATGCGGATCGACATGAGCCTCGTGGATCCGCCGTCGCTTCAGCCCGGCCGTTTCGACGACGCAGATATCGGATTCGCCGCGCCGTCATTCCCGCTGCCTGCCGTGAAGGATGTGAGCCGATTCGATTCCTCACGCCCCGCATATTCTTGAGAACGAGTAGTTTTTACGATTTGTTAGACACACAATACCGGATTTTCGCTTAGTAAGGGGTACCGGCACGTCGAAAGCTGTAAGGAATTTCAGCACAGCTCTATTCGCCTCGACGGAATCCATGTCTAGGCTTGGCGCGGTTCGATATCTCTCAGCATCATCTCCTCTCCATCCTATTCTCGCGTTTCCTCCCCTCTCGATTCTTCCCCGCACCTCTCGCTGCCTGCGCGCTCCTCGCTGCAGCTGGACGGGTTCCAGAGCGCGGCGTCGGCGATGGGGAAGCCGCAGCACGGGGCCACCATGCTCGGATTCGTCTTTGAGGCGCCTCAAAAATCCTTTCTCTCCGCTCCTCTCTCTCTCTCTTCCCGCGCCTCCCTCGCCCTCCCCGCGCCTTTCGCTCCCTCCGCGCGCTCTCCCCGCTCCCTCTCACCGCAGCTGGACGGGTTCCAGAGCGCGGCGTCGGCGATGGTGAAGCCGCAGCACGGCCCCACCACTCTCAGCTTCGTCTTTGAGGCGCCTGAAAAATCCTTTCTCTCCGCTCCTCTCTCTCTCTTCCCGCACCTCTCTCACCCTCCCCGCGCCTTTCGCTCCCTCCGCGCGCTCTCCCCGTTCCGTCTCACCGCAGCTGGACGGGTTTCAAAACGCGGCGATGGAGATGGTGAAGCCGCAGCACGGCACCACCACGCTCGGGTTCGTCTTCCAGCACGGCGTCATCATCGCCGTCGACTCGCGCGCCACCATGGGCACTTATATCGGTGCGCGCTTATATCGGGGATTGGGCCACCCGTCGTCTGCCTCTCCTCTGCCTGCCCCTCTGTGCCATTCCCATCATTGCGAAATTTGAGCCGCCTAAATGTCTTCTCCTGTGTCGACTCGGTACCATGTGCGTCTTACCCCCCTCCACACCCCTTCTATCCCCGTGCTTGCCTCCTCCCTGCGAGCAGCCTCACAGACGGTGAAGAAGGTGATCGAGATCAACAAGTACCTCCTGGGCACCATGGCGGGCGGCGCAGCAGACTGCCAGTTCTGGCAGCGCAACCTGGGCAAGCAGGTGCGTGGGGAGCAGATGGGTGCGACTGGGGGAGGCAGGTATGGGTGAGTTGAAAGTTACAGATCTGGTTCCTCTCCTATTTTGGTGGTTCATGGTTGGTGTTCCCTTTCCCCTGCCTTCGCCTCGCCCTCCACCCTCCTTCCTCTTTCTCCCATCGCCATCTTCCCGCGCTCACTCCGCCGTGCCACTGAACTGTTGCGCGATTGCGGCAGTGTCGGCTGCACGAGTTGGAAAACTGGCTGCGAGTTATGAAACGTCCAACCTTCCACCCCCCCAACCCACACACTCCCTCTTCTCCCTCTCCCAACGCTCAACGGTGGCAGTGTCGGCTGCACGAGTTGGAGAACGGGCGGCGCATCAGTGTGGCGGGGGCGTCGAAGCTGCTGGCCAACACGCTCTTCTCGTACCGCGGCATGGGGCTCTCCATCGGTACCATGGTCGCTGGTTGGGATGAAATGGTCAGTGGGATCAACGGCTGGGATGAGACGATAAAGTGAATTCGACGGCTGGGATGAAGTGGTTGGTAGGGCATATGTTCAGTCCGAGAAACAATGTGAGGGCGATTGTGTGCCTAGTTGATGGGCAAACGGGCATCGGTGATTCGTTCCTTGTGCCGTAGGCTCTCCTATCTGACAACAATTGCATGCCATGTACCATTCTTCTGTGCTTCCATGCTGCCACGCTGCCATGCTGCCACGCTGCCATGCTGGCAGGGCCCGAAGCTGTTCTACGTGGACAGTGAGGGGTCGCGCTACGAGGGCCGGCGGTTCTCAGTGGGGTCTGGATCCACTTATGCCTATGGCGTGCTGGACGCAGGGTGAGCGAGAGGAGGGGGGGAGGGGGAGGGGGAGGGGAGGGGGAGGGGGAAGGGGAGGGAAGGGTGACACGTGAGTTGGCACAGAAGTCACTTGGAGGGCCGGCGATTCTCAGTGGGGTATGGGTCCACTCATGCATATGGCGTGCTGGACGCAGGGTGAGCGAGGGGACAGGGGCAGAGGGTGTTTAGGGGAAGCGGGTTTGTTTAGGATGAAAGAGAGGATGGAAATGAAGTTTGGGTGGGTAAAGGGTGGGAGGTGAGGGTGGGAGGGAAAGCTGGAGAAGGGGTGGGCAGGGAGGTGGGCAGGGAAGAGTGGGAGGGAGGTGAACGAGGGGTGTGGTCAACGAATTAGGAGCAGTTTGTTACCAGGTGCTTGTAAGCATGGCATGCAGATTGACCTTAGCTGGGTAACCGGAACCATGTGTCTCTTCTGACGTGTCCTTCTCACGTGAACATGGAATTTTCTGGCATGGCATGGCATGGCAGGTACCGGTGGGACATGTCAGTGGAGGAGGCAGAGGAGCTGGGGCGAAGGGCCATCTACCATGCCACCTTCCGTGACTCCGCCAGTGGTGGCACCGCCTCAGGTGCGTGCATGTGCACTGAGGGAGAACACTTGGTTATTTGAGGCGTTACCTTCAGTGGACATTAAGTTTGAAATTAGGAATGCATTGCAGGAAGTGGTGGGGTGGCTGCGTATGCTCTGTTTTTCCTGCACTTCGTTTGATGTTCCTTTACTACCCTCCCCCCCCCCACCCCCCCCCCCCCCCCTATCTCCCTCTCCTCTCCCCTCCCTCTCTGTGCCACTGATTGCTCGTATGCTCCTATATGTGTTGTGTTTTTACCGTAATAACAGTGTACCACGTGGGTCCTGAGGGCTGGACGAAGGTGTCTGGTGACGATGTAACAGAGCTACACTACAAGTACTACCCTTTGAAGGAGGAGGTCAAGGAGGAGGCGGAGGCTATGGTTGATGCATGAGGACGAGACGTTTATACCTGTGTCCTTTAGCTTTGTGCTCGAATCGCAGATATTTTTCTTTGGAAAATCTTGTATAGTGAAGAAGTTCAATTGGAATCATGCCAAAATTCCTATCGAATTCGTGGTCACTATGCTCTATGCAATTATCAATACTTCTGATTGTATGCTTAGCACAATCGTTTTGCATCTGCTCGTGTACAATCCGAACATCCATCCCTCGCCGCGGCGCCTTATACCGCGCCAAGTGCTTGAGTCTGACGCCAGGCGCAGCCATTCCCGAATCCCCGAATCCCCAGGGAGTTGGACTTGGTCAGCTGGCATGGCAGAAGCAGCATTCAATCCTAGGGAGTTCCGCATGAGAGTCTCTTTTTAGCGAGCATTCCAGTCATGGTGGTGCCTAGGGAGCTGCGACGAGCGACTACACATCCGCCGCGCTAGCCGTGTCGTAACGAGTCGTCGTGCCGTGATTCATGACTTCGCTTTCGGAAACATGCGATGTTTTCGAGGGCATATTTAGCTATCGCGGAGCCGAGATTAGAGACTTTCGGAACTTATCTCTGGGTTCTTAGATATCCATGCGCAGATAACTCGTTCCTGTTAGTTTTCAGGCAAGCAGGCCCGCGGTACTCAGCTGGCGAGTTCGTACTATCTCCTAACCTCGACCCGCTTCCCGTCCCCGTGCGCGAGTCTAGTCAGCTCGACTAGTCAGATTCTGAACGCACTTTCAGTCGTAACTTGCAGTTCGTGATGTTTTAGCTTTCGCCGATGTTCTCGACCAGTAGATGTCAGGTCTGAGCGGAAGTGTGATTGTCGACCGACGTTCCAGGAGAGTGACGACGGTGCGGTACGGTGCGTTTCGTGCGTAATCCTCTTGGTTGAGAGTGAAGAATAGAAACAAGACTTCAGGCTGATTTTTTATTTCTTTCAAGTTGTCGTGAGTGAGGCGGTGAGGAGCGATGGAGGACGGTAGCATCGTGGCTAGCGGCGCCAGAGAGGAGGACCCTATCATTCTAGACGACGATGACGACATTGACGGCGACATTGGCGACGACATTAACGACAACATGGACGATCGCATCGACGATGTTGGCGATAGATTTCATGCGAATCATTCGTTCGCCTTTCCATCCGCAGGTCCTCACGACTCTGCGGCTTTCAGTGCGCAGCCGTCGGATCAGGCGGTCAAATGTGAACGCTTATTCGAATCGCAGGGAGTCGGCGGCGTAGCTGGACGAAATACGTTACAAGTCGACGATGTCGCGAGCGGGCGAAATTTGTCAGCAGACGATTGCGACCTCGGCAACCGAGCTTCATCAGAGGACGACCCACCGCTATTAGCACGCCACGCTGAACCTAGCGGATTTCGTGCTCCTAGTGATGAACGTCTCTCGGGATTTGATTCTCCGCCTCTGTACCATGCGGCTGCTTCTCGCGGGGATTCACATGCGGAATTCGCTGGTCGACTGAACGACGCGGGCCACGTGGGTAGTGAGCCAGCTGGGGAGACGGTGCGAGAAACCAGAAGGAAGCGGCGGAGGGAAACTGAGACAGGCGCTAGCAGTGGAGCGGGCATGGATCAAGGGAGGGAGAGGAGGAGGGAGACCGACACAGGCACGAGCAGGGGAGCGAGGATGGAGCGAGGGAGGGAGAGAGGTAGGATGGGGAGGGGGAAGAGTTGTGTGGGTATGAAGCGTTGGTTGAAAGCCTGGCGATGGCGGATGGGCGGACGGAGGGTTGACAGACAGGGGGTAGGAGGACGGAGGACTGACAGACAGAAGGTTGACGGGCGAGGTCTTGTACGGGACCGAGGGACAAGGCAACGGCGAAGGGAAGGAGGGACGAGGTCATTTGGCAGAGGCCGTGCGAGGAGGGGTGGAGTTAATGCTTCGGACGGGGAGGTTGATGGGGAGGTTCATGGCGTGTACTCGCTTTCCATGCGCATGTCTCGCGAGGCCCTGGGGTGTTCCGCAGCTGCGGGGAGGGGAATGGGTAATTCCGGAGGGACAGACGACGCGGAACGCGGGTCAGGATGCCCAGAGAGAGGAATGGGGAGCCAAGGAGGGGCAGACGCGGCCGTGCGCGTGTCAGGAGGCGCCCTAGTGGAGGAGGAGTGCGAGAGTGGGGACGAAGAAGAGGAGGCGAGGCGGGTTCGGAGGGCGAACGAGGTGTGGCGGAGGGTGACGTGGGCATGGTGGCGCGACAACTTCTGGGTGCCAGGGGTGGAGAAGGAGGAGCCCACAGTCACAGTCGAGGAGGACTTTCACGTGGATCACTGCCTCAAGTGCTATGGCTATGACATCCTCATGTCAGTCCCGCCTCGTCTCTTCCCTCGCCTCACCTCTTCCCTCGCCTCACCTCTTCCCTCGCCTCGCCGTTGCCCTCGCCTATGCTCTGTCTGCCGTCGCCTTTGCTCTGCTCTCGCCTCACCTCTACCCTCGCCATATCTCCCCTTCTCGTCCGTGCCTCGCCGTCTCCCCTGCAGCTGCTGTGACGGGCCAGCGTGCCACAAGGCATGCCACGTGGAGTGTGCGGAACCCAAGCTCTCCCACGCACCCAAGGGCCCCTGGTACTGCCCTGACTGCCTCGCCCGCCTCCGCACCTCCCGCCGCCCCTTCCCCTATCCCCTCCTCTCCACTACAACCCCAACTGGCTGTGCTTATACTCCTGGAAGGGAAGGGTGGGCTGGAAGTTTCGGTGGTGGGGGTGGTGATGCGAGTTTGGAGGATGAGGATTGGGATGCGGCCAGGGGGGTTAATGAAGCGAACGGTGTGGGTGCCTCCGCCGCTGCTGCTGCTGCTGCTGCTGCTCATAGCAGCCGCAGTGGCGGTGCTGGCAAGGCGGGGGGAGGAGGTGGCAGTCTTACAGCAGCTCGTGGTGGGGGGTCTAAGGCCTCTGGTGCTAGTAACAGGGCGTCTAATGGCGAGGATCCGGCGAATTGGTTTGCTCTAGGCGAGGTGGTTGTGGAGTCTGTGTGGCTGGACAGGGAGAAAGGGGAGGGGGGCGGTGGGGCGATGGGGATGGGGATGGGGATGGGGATGGGGATGGGGATGGGGATGGGGATGGGGATGGGGATGGGAGGAGGCGGGATGAGGGAGGGGATACTGGCATGGCAGCACGATGAGGAGATGAGGAAAATGAGGGGGGCGGGGGGAGAGGGAGAGGTGCGAGGGAGGACGGGGGGGAAAGCAGTGGGGAAGTCAGGGGCGAGAGCAGGCAGCAAGGGGAAAAGGGGAGGGAGGTTGGTGCAGGGGCATGGAGGCAGGCGAAAGGGGGGTAAGGGGTTGGTAGGGGGAGAAGGTGGGGTGGGGGGAGGGCAGGACGAGGGGATGGGTGGGGATGGGTTGAATGTGGCGCATGGAGAGGGGTTGGAAGCTCTTGGCTGTTCTGTCAGGGATGCAGGGGGACAGACTCATGCGGCTGTAGCAGGGGCGTGTGTGGGGCCCAGTGGGGCGAGCGCGGAGGCAGGGCGTGGCAGGGGGAGGGAGTATTTCGTGAAGTGGCAGAAGCGGCCTCATGTGCACAACGAGTGGGTGGATGGCGAGTGGTTGCACTCGCGATTCCCGGGCCACCTGGCAGCATACGAGACGCTCAAGGCGGAGGGCCAGGTGGGTTTTCAGGCACAATGACTTTTGAGATGCTCAAGGCGGAGGGCCAGGTGAGTACGTGTGCGGTGTGTGTGTGTGTGTGTGTGTGTGTGTGTTTGTGTGTGTGTGTGTGTGTTTGTGTGTGTGTGTGTGTGTGTGTTTGTGTGTGTTTGTGTGTGTGTGTGTGTGTGTGTGTTTGTGTGTGTTTTTGTGTGTGTGTGTGTGTGTGTGTGTGTGTGTGTGTGTGTGTGCCTGGAAAGTTCAGAGGTTTGCGTTCCTTCTCAGTGCAGACTCTTTGGCCTGAACTGAACCGACCGAACTATGCTAGGCTTGCCTCAAACAAACCGGTTCCCTTCCGTCTCTTGGTGGTGCATGCATGCATGGCCCCACAAACACACACCTTCCTCTCCCCATGCGCTGCTGCCCATGTTTCGCAGCAAGTGAACTCTCCCCTTGAGGAACACCCACCCCCCTCTCCCCCACCCCAACTCTCTCCCCATTCCCAGCTGCCTGTGTACCGTAACGAGTGGGCGGAGCCGGAGCGGCTGCTGGGGCGGTTCAAGGTGGTGGGGCTGGGACACGGCAAGAGTGGTGGCAAGGGGCGCGGCAAAGGGCGGCTGAGACGCGTGTCAGACGAGTATCAGTGGTGAGAGAGAGAGATGGACGAAATGACAGGGGCGAGGGCTTCTGTTTCATTCAGCATGTCGCTCGTCTTTCCTTCATCCTTTCTTGCCCATGCAATGCCGCAGCTACACTCACCCCCTTCTCCTTCCCCGTATCACCTGATATATTTTCTCCTCTTCCCGTTCTCATTGCATGGTGCATTCGTTATACCAGGCTGGTGAAGTGGAGGGGCGTGGGGTACGAGCACCTGACATGGGAGCATTTTGAGTCGGTTTGAATAATCTTTCTCCACTTCCCCGTTCTCATTGCGTGCATACGTGGCATGATCAGGCTGGTGAAGTGGAGGGGCGTGGGGTACGAGCACCTGACATGGGAGCCGTGCAACATGCCCTTCCTCTCCACGCCACGTGGCATGGCGCTGCAGGCGAGGCACGAGAGGGAGAGGGAGGGGTGTGAGCGCAGAGCCACAGCACAGGCCATGCTGGAGGTACGTATGTGTGTGTGTTCCTACGTGGGTGTTGGGTTATTCTGCGGATTTTTTTCCTCGCATGGCACTTTGTGTTTGCAGGCGGGGCATGGGAGGGTGGGGGTGTGAGTTGAGATACATGGGAATGCAGTGCGGTGCAGTCCGTTGCAGTGCAGTGATGCATGTAGCTGTAGAACCTTGAATGCATGCACGGGCCTGTGCTGTGCTGTCAGCAAGTCCTTCCGTGACCCTCCCTCTGCTGCTATCATAAACCCCCCGGTCGCAACATCACCGATGTTCCTCTCAGGCAAGAGCCAGACGCGCTGCTCCATTCGCCATAACACAGCGTCACCATCCAAACGGCATTGCAGCCATCCACCAGCCAAACGAGGCCCAGCACGCAGAGTCAGTCCAGATGGCGGCCTTGGATTGGCTGAGGGCGCTGTGGCAGTGCGATGGGGCCGCCCTTGACCGCGCATTGAACGCTGTGTGGGAATCTGTGGGGGAGAGCAGGCGCGGGCTGGGATGTGATGTGGGAGCTGCTGGCGCCTGGCCTGCTGGTGGTGATGCCAGTTGGGGAGCGGGGGCAGAGGGGTTAGAGGGAGATAGAGGGATGGGTGAGGGGGAGGGAGGAGTGGAGGAAGGGGAGAGAGGGGTGGACGATGAGGTGGGAAGGCGTGCGCTGCTGTGTATGGACCCTGGCATGGTGAGTAAACATAGCAGCACCGTTGCATTGCATGGCATGGCATAGCATGGCATGGGCAGCAGTGTGCGAACCTGTCTTTAGTGGTCTGCAGCTTGAAATGAAAGCACTTTCCTGTCACCCTAAACCCTGGTTCAATCGCGGCTCAAGCCTCAAAATCACCCCCCTACCGCCCCTCATCTCATCTCACCCACCTGGGCAGGGCAGCTCCCGTGTGCTCGTGGCGTTCTGCCGCGCCCTCATCACTCAGTTCAAGTGCGTGCGCCCCATCCTCGTCATCTCCCCCTCTCCCCGCCACGCCGCCCGCTGGTGCTCCGATCTCCGCTCGCCCTGCCCTGGCCTTGCTGCACCGCCACCCACTGCAGCAACAACAGCTGCTGTACCCCCATCTGCTGCACGAACAGCTGGTGCAGGAGGTGGGGCAGCAGCAGCAGCAGCAGCAGCAGCAGCAGTGGCGGAAGCAGCCGTGGGAGGGGTGGCGAGGGGGGAGGGAGGGGAGATTCATGTGTTGAAGTATGTGGGAGGGTCAGAGGCGGAGCTGGAGGTCATATGGGATAGGGAGATGCTGCCTGCTGACAGTGCTGCTGCATGCGCTGCTGCTGGCGCTGCTGCCAGTGCTGCTGCTAGTGCGAGTGCCTGTGCTCAGCCTGGCAGTGGTGCTGCTGACACGCCAGGGGCACCAGCGGAATCAGGCATTGTGGTCCAGCCTCAAGTGGTTGTCACCACAGCAGCGATCTTCGTGCATGTAAGCTGCTCTCTCTGCAGGCAAGGTGATTCATGAGTCGACTGGAACATGCGCTGCTGCTTCCCTCCCCCTCGCCCTCCACCCCTTCTCCCCCTCCTCCACCCTGTGAGCCCTTGCCGTGTCTGCTCGCTTGTCCGTTTCAATCCAAAACTCAGTCTTTTTGTGCAAGCTGATTCTCCCTTGAGACGCTTTCACTTGAAGGCCAAAACGTGACGACTAACTCTGAACCGTTGGATTTGAACCGTGCGCGGCCCGGATGTGCAGGCGGCAGGTTGGCTCTCCCAGGTGCAATGGGAAGCTGTGCTCGTGGAAATTCCACCACCGGGTGTCCTTGTAGACTATGACACGTGGCAGTCCGTGATTGGCTGCTTTCAGGCAAATTCCCAGCATGCTGAGGTGGCGCCGTGTCACCAGCCACTATGTGCTCCTCCGCCCCTCTCTCTGCATACTCGCCTGCTCGTGTGTGCTTCTGCTAGAGGGTCAGAGCAGTGGAGTCAGGAGAGAGAACAGCAGAGTGGGCGGCAGAGGCACGGGAGTGCAGTGCGCGCATGGGACAGACTCTGTGGGGCTGCTGCCGCTGTTGTGGCCGCAGAGGCAGCACAGGAGGAGGCAAAGGCAGTGGGGGGAGGAAATAGTGACGATGAGGAAGGGGAGGATGAGGAAGGGGAGGATGAGGGGGTAGCAGCAAGGGCAGCAGCAGGCAGAGTAGGAGGGGATGCAGGAGCAGGGGCGCGAGTAGCAGCAGCAGCAGAGATGTGCGCAGCTGTTGCTGCAGCAGCGGTGCGGGCTGCAGCAGCCGTGTGGTCAGGAAGGGGGCCGGAGGGGGCGGAGCGGGTGGAGGGGACAGAGGGGAGGAAGGAGGGATGGGGCAGTGATGGTGGTGAGGGTGGTGACTTTGGCTGGGGCAGTAGTGTTGGCAGGCAATGGCATGTGCTGGATGTGGGGTTGACCCTGGGGCGGGATGGGGATGGCAGAGAGTGTGGAGGCGATGGTGGGGGACGAGAGTGGGGAGAGGAGGAGGGGCGAGAAGAAAGGGAATGGGAGGAAGGGAGGGATTGGGTGGAGAGGAGAAGGGAGAGGGGGGGAGGGAGGGAGGGTGGTGGGGGGCCTGGTGGGTCATTTGTGGCAGCTTGGGGAGCCGAGCGAGAGGGGAGGCAGTGGGCTTTAAGAAGAACGTGGGCTGTGAGGGGCAGGGCGGTGAGGGAGATCTGGTGGCCTGCCAGTCTCACTCCCCACCAGCGCGCACTCTACAGGTACCCCATCGTGTTGCACATGGTTGTTTGCTTGCAATCCCTGAATGAAAATCACCATCCTTGTCTCCCTCCGTCTCGCACTCTACTCTTCAGTTAGGCTTCCATCCAGCAACGTCAATACATCTGTGTATCCATCTCCATCTCGCTTCCTCCTTGCACCGCCTGCTCAATCACTCCACTTGTATCCCGCACCCCCTTCTTGCATCCCCACGCACACCCTGTCGCTTCAACACAGGGCGACGATGCGAGAGCTGAAGCGAGCAGCGAGAGTGCGAGCCCAGCCCGGGACGGCTGCACTGCCTGCAGCAGCGTTCACTGCTCTCCGAAGGAGACTGCTGCAGTGCTGCCACCACGCCCAGCTTCTCTCACCTGATCCACGCCCTGGCCACCCGGCTGTTAGCGCTCCCAGGCCCCCTGCTCCTCCTGCCGCTTCTGCTGGCTCAGCTGGAAATGCCGCCGCCACTGCCACCGCTGCTGCTGCTGCTGAACCTGCTGCTGCCACTCCTGATCCTGCTGCTGCTCCTATGCCTGCTTCTGCCAGTGATACTGCAGCAGCAGGAGCAGCAGCAGCAGCAGCAGCAGAGGAGGCAAGGCGTAGCAGCGCAGATGGCATGCAGAGCAGTGGGAAGCTAAGGCTGCTGAGCGCAATGCTAGCGTGTCTCCAGCAGAAAGGGAAGACCGTTCTGCTGCTTGCACATGTGAGTGGGTCCTTTGTCGCTTGTGCCTCACATGAACAATCACTCACATGCTCCATGTGGCAGCAAATGCCAGTCTTGCCTCACACTCAGAGTTGAGTGCGCGCAAAGGCAGGCACTACCGCCCTACCTGTCTGCTGTCCCTCAGCTGAACTTCAACACTTGAGCCCACATCCCTGCACGTCCCCTCCCACCTCTTTTAATATGTTATTGCGCAGAGTGCGCAAGTGAGGGAAGCGCTAGCCAGCATGCTCGCTCAGCAGTGGGGCGGCAGTGGGAGTGCGTTCCTCCGCCTGCACTCGTCCGACTCCCCTGCTGCCTGCTCCCACACGCTCGCCCAGGTGGTGCGAGGGGCTTCAGGCGAGCAGGGGCGCAGTGTGGTACGGGGAGGGCAAGGGGAGGTTCTGTTTGGCAGAGCAAGGGGTGTGCGTGGTGGGAGAGGGGGTCGGGTGGCAGGAGGTTGTGGGGGAGGAGGAGGTGGGGGAGGGGTGGGTGGGAGAGGAGTGGGTGGGGGAGGAGTGGGCCGGAGAACATTTGGTGGGAGGGCAGCGAGTTTTGGCAGCAGGAGACAGAGGGAGGCCGTGAGGAGGGGAAGACGAGGGGAAGAGGAGCGGCGAGTGAGGAGAGAGGGTGGAGGAAACGGTGGAGGAGGGAGAAGGAACGGCAGAAGGGCGGTGAGGATTAAGCTGACTTGTGGCAGGGTGGTGGGTCGAGGGAGAAATGGTGGAACGGGTAGGGATAGGCGTGGGGAAACGGATAGGCGAAGGAGAAGGGAGAGGTGCAGAGGAAGAGGTGAGGAAGAGAGGCGATTTGGAAGTGGTGCAAGTGAGATGGGTTGTGGTAGGGATAGGCAGCAGGTCAGGAGTAGGCAGTACGGCAGGGGTAACCAGCATGGCAGGTGCATGGCGGGCAGGGGGGACACGCTGGTGGAGGAACGAGAGTGTGAAGGTGAGGAGCGTGGGGAGGAGGTGAGGGGGCAGGGACGGGGAGGGGAGAGTGAGGTGGGAGTGCGGGTGAAGCAGGAGGAGGTGGAGGAGGAGGTGGAGATGGGGGTGGAGGAGGAGGAGGAGGAGGAGGAGGAGGAATACTCAGTGGTGCAAGTGCCGGTGTGGATGGAGCGTGAGGTGGAGGAGGATGGTGAATCGGTGGAGGGGGGTGGTGAGTCGGTGGAGAGGGGTGGTGAGTCAATGGATGGGGGTGGTGAATCGGGGAAGGGGCTAGTGAGGGGGGAGGGCAGTGGCGAGGCGCTGAGAAGAGTGAAAGAGGAGCAGACGGAGGAAGGGTTTGAGGAGGGAAGTATGTGGCAGGCGCAGCACACGAAAGAGGGGGAGGAGGTTGCGGAAGAGGTTGAGGATGGGGAGGGGGAGGGGAAAGAGCAGGAGAGAGATGAAGAGGCAGGGGTGGAAGAGCAATGGCAGGCGCGAGTGGAGAGAGGGTGGGAGCAAGGGGCGCGTGGTGGAGGACCAGAGAAAGATGGGAAGGAGAAAGAGGGGGAAGAGGAACAGCACGGAGAGCAGCAGGGAGAGCAGCAGGGAGAGCAGCAGGGAGAGCAGCAGGGAGAGCAGCAGGGAGAGCAGCAGGGAGGGCAGCAGGGAGAGCAGCAGGGAGCAGTAGCATGCAGAGAGCGTCCGTTTGTGGTGCTAGCGCCAGCAGCAGTGGTCTCGATGGCCGTGGGTCTGGATTCTATAGACGTGGTTATACTCGTGGATGACTCAGCAACTCCTGCGTTAACTACACAGGTCAGTGGGGAGTGTGAGGAGAGGGTGTGGGAGTGCACGAGAGCGTGGGCGTGGGTTCGGGTGTGGGTGTGGGCGCGTGCGATGTACCCACAACGCCGCCCCCCCCCTCTCAGAAAGTGTCATCCCTTTCACTTGATGCTCAACTCCCCACGACTGACAGCATCAAGAATAGGCATGACCCCTCTGCTGCACCTCATCCTCACGCTTCTTCTTCCCCCGCCTGTCGCCCTCCTCGCCTTTGTTCTCCCCACTCCTCTCAACTCCCCCGCCCGTCTTCTCCCCCTACCCCTCGGCCCTACCCTGCCGTGCAGCGCCTGCTCGCCTCCCTGCTCTTCCACCGAGACACCTGCTCCACCGCTCCCAGCCCCTCTCCACAGCAGCAGGGCTGCAGCGTACCGCCTCTCACCGTGCTGCGCCTCTACTGCCCTGCAACTGAGGAGCAGCGGCTGCTGGAAAGCGCCTGGCATGGCGCAGCGAGGGGCTTTGACTGGACTCAAGACTCTGAAGAGCAGCGTGTGCTGCAGGGCTACAGGCATGGCGCAGGGAGGGGTCTGGGGGGATCCGTGGGGGGATTTGCTGGTGGGGTGGGGGCGAAGGTAGGGGAGGAGAGAAGAGAGGAGCGAGAGGAGAGTAGGGGAGAGGTGAGAGGCGTAGGGGTGGAGGTAGGCGAAGGGGTCCGTGGAGAAGGGGAGGAGATGCAGTGGGAGGCGAGGAGAGGAGTGAAGAGGCGTGCTGGTGGGAGGGAGGGGGAGTGGGAGAGGGACGAGGAGCACGGGGAGGAGGAGGAGGAGGAGGAGGAGGAGGAGCCAAGGAAGGGGAAGGAAGGCAAGCAGGGGCGGAAGAGGCGAAGAGTGGACTGCTGTGCTGGTTCTATGGAGGAAGGAGGTGGGGAGGAACGGGGTGACGGCATTGCGGGGAGAGGGGACGTGAGGCAGGAGGAAAGGGGGGGAGGGAGTGCTAATGGGAAGGGAGTTGGCGAGGAGGAGGCAGGAGAGGGGCATAGGATGGAGTGCAGGGGGAAGGGGTGGGGCAGCGGGGAAGGTGCTGTAGGTGTCAGGCAGCAGTTGAGGGAGATTCTTTTATACTGGGCGGCGAACAAGCGGAGTGTGAAAGAATGGGCGGGGAACAGTGCCCTGCATTCTGAGCCCGTCACGTCTGTGGCTTTGGATCGGGTTCTGGCTTGGCCCGGACCTGCAGGTCCGGTTGTTTCCGAGCCTGTGAGAGGTGTTTTGTCTATGAGGGATTTGGAGGCTGTTGCAGGGGAGGTAAGAGGGGAAGATGGAGTGGGAGGGAGAGAAGAGGAGTTAAGAGGAGAGGGACTTGGGGAGGAGGGGCATGGGATGGGAGCGGAGGAGTGTAGAATTGGAGGGGAGGAGGAGTGTAGGATTGATGGGGAGGAGGAGGAGGATAGGGTTGGAGGGGAGGAGGAGAAGCATAGTATTGGAAGGGAGGAGGAGGAGCATACAATGGGAGGGGAGGAGGAGGAGCATACAATTGAAAGGGAGGAGGAGGAGCAGAGGTTGGACGGAGGGAAGCAAAGGCGTGAGGCCGGGCAGGAGGTGGGAAGTGAGAAGATAAGGGTGGAATGGAGAGACTATGGGCATGGGCTGGAAGAGACAGGAAGCGGGGAAGAGGTGGCAGGGGAGGAGAGACGAGATGGGATGGAAGGAATGGTGGGAGGAAGAGGAGGGGAGGGAGTTCAACTGAGGGATAATGCAGGCGAGAGGTTGGGAGTGGAGAATGGGGCGACAGGGAAGGCAGAAGGAGAGGCCACGGCCATGGCAGATGGAGGAGGGCAGGGCGAAGAGAGCAGGGCGGGTAGAGAGGGCGGGGAGGGCAGGGAGGGCGGAGAGGAGCGAGAGAGTGAGGCAAATGGAGCGGATGGCGGTTGTGCGCGGTGTAGAGGGGTGAGAATTAATGTGAGAAGCAGTGACGGTAGCACTTTGATAAGTGATGAATGCAGCGCACGGACTAGTGGTGTGTGGCGGTCGATTGAGATTGTACAGGGCGGCATTGCTGCTGCTGTGGCTGAGGCCAGGAGGCTAGTGGGTGAGAGAGGGGGGGAGCTGGGCAGGCAAGGAGACCAGGGAGTGACAGGGACGAGGGGAGAGGGGGAGCGAGAAGGTGGAGGCATGGTGGGGGACGCAGGGGGGGAAAGGGGAGCAGGAGAAGGGATGGCGAGGCTGGCTGGAGCAGATGGGGAGGGAGGAGTGGGGAGGGAGGGAGGAGTGGGAAGGGAGGGAGGAGTGGGAAAAGAGGGAGAAGTGGGAAGGCAGGGCGGAATGGGAAGGGAGGGAGGAGCGGTCGATGGGGCACAGAGGCTAGGCAAGGGTGGCGAGGAGGGGAGTGAGGAGATGGAGGAGGGGGAGTGGCATGAGGAGGACAAGGTGAGAAGTGACGCAAGTGGTCGCGATGATGGGCATCCCTTGGAGCAGCACAGGGCCCATGAGGAGGGAAGGGGCCTGGCAACGTGTGAGCAGGAGGAGCAAGACTCACACCAGCAGCAGCGAGAATTACAGCAGCAGCAGCAGCAGCAGCAGCATGAGCAACAGGATGGGCGGAATGAGCCTTGTGAACAGGCAGGGCATGAGCATCGAGACAGCTCTCTGCGCCGCTCTCACTCATCCCCGTCCCGCCACTCCCGCAACCCACCCTCCACTCTCTCACGCTCCTTCTCCCACCTCCACCCACCATTCCCCCCCACCCATCCGCCAGTCCACGCCCCCCTCCCTCTCGCACCCCTCAGCCCGAATTTCCGCGCTAGCAGGCAGCAGGGATCAAGGGACGGAGCAGGTCGGACTCTTGACCCAAGGGGCGTTGGGCCCCATGGATTGCCCCCCACGCCCCTCGCTGCACTGCCCACCCCCCATGCCTCACATGTGTACAGAACTCATGAGGAATTTGAACGGGCCCATGCATTGTCTGCCCAGGGGCCCAGTCATCTCCATCATCCCCATGGGTTTCCGTCCCTCCCTCCGCCTGTGTTCGTATCCCTCCCACACCCCCGTGGTTTCCAGCTGCCCAGTCAGCACCGCCCACATCTGCCAAGTCAGCATGGCCCACATCCACCCAGTCAGCATGGTCCGCTTACCCTTATACCACGTCATCATCCGCCTGGCTTTCCTATGCTTTTCCACGCCAACCATCCCCCCACCTTTTTCCTCGCACGCCCTCCAAACGCCCACCCCCATTATCCTCACACTGCTGCTCCCAACCACACTCCTACGCCTCCTCCCACTCCCCGCAACCACCCCCAATCTCCTACCACCTCCCGCGTCCCTCCCAACTCCCCTTCGAACGCACCTTCCAGCCCTCACCAACCACGTGCCTCCACCCCCCATCCGCCCCTGCCCCTGCCATTTTCCCCCTCCAAGAAGGCTCGTGTGTCGACCCAGAAGTCCAATTCCCCTTCCAGCAGTCCCCACACACGTCCTCCCCCACCCAATGCACACCCAGCCCGGTCACTCCCCCCAGCTAGCCACCCTCCAAGCCCACCAGCACTGCCTCAAAACGGCCACCACCCAATCAGTGCCCCACACCGCCCTGACTTACCACCTGAACGCCGTTCTCCACCTGTTTTTTCACCTGAGCGTGCGCCTGAATGGTGCCATGGGCCCCCTGGAGCTGGTATCAGTGATCGCTCTCAGGTGAATTCTCAGGTGAGGTTCCGTGGCGACCAAGCGGGCTCGTGTGATCTAGATACTCCGAGGTGGCAGGAGGATCTGCCACGTGGCTCAACAAAAGAAGGGAGATGTGGCGTGGTGAGTGCTGAGGCGCATGAGTGGGAGGATGACGTGGCAGATTACATGTCACCGAAAGAAAAGACACGTGGAAAGCTGGGAGATGAGGCAGGCACCAAAGGGGATGACGTGGCGAAGCAGGTGCCAGCTGGCCTATCGAATGCAGTGACATGTGGAACGGAAAGCAGGGGAATACGTGGTGAAGGAAGGGATGAGGTGACAGGCCAGGTGCCAGCGAGCATCCCACGTGGCAGAGAGGGGCACGAACAGCCCCTTAGCCAGGTGGCAGCAAGCAGTCCACGTGGCAGGGAGGAACCTGAAGCAACGCCATCCCCTGACGGAGGGTCAAAGGGGGGGGTACCAGGGAGAACGAGAGGGAGAGCTGTGCGACGGGGGTGTGGAGTGGTGCGGGGAGGTGTGCTGGTGAGAGTGGGAAGAGGGAGGGGGGTAGGAGGGCGAGGGATTGGAGGAACGCGGGTGGGAGGAAGTAAGGAGGGGCCCAAGAATGGGCAGATGAAAGCCCGGGGAGAGGAAGAGGGAGCGGGGATGGCAGGAGAGGGAGGTAAAGGGGGGGATGGTCATGGGCAGCTGTTGCGTGCAGAGTTTGATGCAGCTGTTGCAGCTGCTGCTGCTGTTGTGGCTGCTGCAACTGCATCTGCTTCTGGGGCTGCTGGGGTGACCAAGCGGCGTGGGGATGGTGCAGATGGTGCGATGCGAGAGATGCCGAGTGGGAGGGCTGCAGTGGAGAGGAGTGCGGGGAGGTCTGTGCTGGGCAAGCGATCACGGCGCGAGGCTGGCTTGAACGGGCTGGAGGAAGGCATGGGAGGGGAGAAGGTAGGCGTGGAGAGGCAGGCGCAGGAGGATGGGGCGATGCCGAAAGAGGGGCTTGGAGGAGAGGCGGGGCGGGTTGCAGCAGGGGGGAGGCTGGTGGGCGTGCACGTGATATCAGCGAAAGGCAGTCAGGAGGCGGCAAAGCCAAGGAACAGGCAGAAGGAGGGTGGTGAAGGAGAGGTGGGGGCGGTTAACAATGTGGGGATATCAATGGATGTGGCGGATCAGGTGATTACAACGGGGGAGAAGCTGGTGGGCGTGGATGTGATTGCAGGGAAAAGCGGTCAGGGGATGGTGGAGGTAAGGGACAGCCAGAGCGAGCGTGGCGAAGGGGAGGTGATATCAGTGGGAGGAAGCGGTCAGGCGGCGGTAGAGCTAAGGGATGGGCAGACGGAGGGTGGTGAAGGCGAGGTGGCTGGAGACGGGCAGGCGATTGAAGGGCGGATGGAGGAGAAGGGAAGGGCGGGGGAGGCGAGAGAGGAGGGGAGAGGGCAGGTGGAATCGGGGAAGGAGGGAGGTGACGAAGAGGAAAACGAGAGGGAGGAAGGAGGAGGGCGAGGGAAGGAGGCGGAAGGAGGTGAGGGGGAGGAAGGGGAGAAGCAGCCAGCGGTTGAGGTGGACAGATGCAGCAGGGAGGAAGGAGAGATTGATGGTGCAGATGGTGTGGGGAGGGAGAGGGGTGAGAGGAGAGATGGGGCGGAGATGGAGGTGGGAGGGAATGAAAAGGAAGTGGGGGAGGAGAGGGAATTGGGGGATGGGAGGGAATTGGGGGATGGGAGGGAATTGGGGGAGGAGAAGGAAGTGGGGGATGGGAGGGAAGTGGGGGATGGGAGGGAAGTGGCGTCAACTCAGGGTGAGGGCGGTGAGTGTGGGCAGGAGGAGGAAGAGAGAAGCGCGCTTGTACCTCTGGAAATTGCTGCAGTCGGCACTGCTGCAGTCGACACTGCTGCGGTCGACACTGCGGCACCTGACGTCCCTGGAGCAGATGCTTCCCCCAAGAGCACACCTGCTATGAACGCAGCTGTAGCAGACACAGGTGCAGCCGAGACAGCTGTAGCAAGTGCAGCCGAGACAGCTGTAGCAAGTGCTGTCGAGACAGCTGTAGCAAGTGCTGCCGAGACAGCTGTAGCAAGTGCTGCCGAGACAGCTGTAGCAAGTGCAGCCGAGACAGCTGTAGCAAGTGCAGCCGACGCAGCTGTAGCAAGTGCAGCAGACACAGCTGTAGCAGACACAGCTGTAGCAGACACAGCTGTAGCAGACATGGTTGTAGCAGCAACAGCTCCAGCGTCGGATACAGTTGCACCGGATACAGCCGCACTGGATACAGCCGCACCGGATACAGCCGCACTGGATACAGCCGCACCGGATACAGCCGCACTGGATACATCCATGAGGGGCCATGAGGAGAGGGGAGAGGGAAGCAGGGAGGGGGGCGAGAAGGAGCAGGTGAGTGGAAATGAAGCGGAGGGAGAGGAGGGGATTATGGATGCTGGAGAAGAGGGGGCAGAGGGAGAAGAGGGTACAGAGGGGGCAGGGGGGGCAGAAATGGCACAGGGGCCAGAGAGGGAAGAAATGGCAGAGGGGGCAGAGGGAACAGAGGGAACAGAGGGAGCAGAGGGAGCGGAGGTAGCGGAGGGAGCAGAGACGGCAGATGGGGCTGTGAGGGCAGAGGGGGCAGAGGGAGCAATGGAAACAGAGGCAGGAAAGAGGGGGGAGGGGGCACAAGCAGGTGTAGTGACAGGGCTGGCGGATGGGGAAGGAGCAGGAAGAACCTTTGGGGGAGCAGGGGAGGTGGCGATGGCAGAGGCACATGCAGAAACGGCAGGGGAGGTAGAGGGAGAAACAGCAGTAAGAGCGAGGAAAGGAGTAGGTGGGGAGATGGAGGGAGGGGAACAGGAGAGTGGAGGAGTGAGGGAAGGCTATGATCCAGGATCAGCAGCGGCAGCAGGTCCGGCAGTGGCAGGTCCGGCACGGACAGGTTCGGCAGTGGCAGGTCCGGCACGGACAGGTTCGGCAGTGGCAGCAGACACAGAAATGGAAGACCGAGCTTCACCTGACCCTGGCGCCGCTGGAGTGAGCACTGCTGAAGCTCCAGTTTCAGCACCTGCACGAACAGCACCAGGGGGGGAGGGAGCAGCAGCAGCACCTGTGGCACCTGCACCACCACCAGCAGCATTAGCTGCAGCACCAGTTTCCGCGCTCGTAGCAGCAGCACCAACAGTAGTACTAGCTCTAGCTTCACCAACACTAGCACCAGCACCTGCACCCGCACCAGCATCAGCAGTAGAACCAGCAATAGCAGCAGCACCAGCGCCAGCACAAGCACCAGGACCACTACCACCACGACAACCATCACTTCCATCACTACCATCAGAAGCAGCAGCAGTGGCAGCAGCAGCAGAGCGCACATCACATGCAGTCTCTGATCTGCCTCCCCCGCGCATGCGCAGGCCGCCACGACAGCCGTCCCCTCCGCGTCTGAGCTTCCTGCACCGCCTCAACGCCCTGCAGCACCAACGCCTGTTGATCAGCGACATTCAGCAACAGCAGCAGCAGCAGCAGAATGGTTACACTGCTGCTGGTGTGCCTGGCAGTGCTAGCAGCACCACTCCTCCCCCCTCAGACCACATACCCATGGAAAGTGCCTCTCTCTCTGCCGCCCAGGGTCTCACCCCTGTCACGCGGGATATCATGCTGGCGGAGCGGCTGCGTCTGGAGGATCTTATGAAGCACCAGCAGGCTGCCACGCTGGCAGCAGAGCGCCAGCTGGATGATGAGAAGGAGCGCCAGGTGGCGCTGGTGCTGCAGCGGTTTGAGCGGAGGAAGGCGGTGGTGAGAGCGAAAGGGGCGGCAGAAATGGAGAGGACAAGGGAGGCCATAGGGATGGTGGACGGCCAGATTCCGCTGCTGCAGGCTTGGCAGGCGAAGTACTCAAGTGGGGCAGGGGCAGCAGCCTCGGGAGCAGCAGGTTCGGGAGCAAGGGTTGCTGGAGGTGGTGCTGGGACTGCTGGGACTGCTGCGACTGCTGCGACTGCTGGGACTGCTGGGGCTTCTGCTGGTGGTGCTCATGGCAGTGGTGCAAGGGTTGCTGGACGTGGTGGTGGTGTGGGAGGAATGGGTGTGCAGTCACTAACCGCAGCAGCGCTGCCTGCAGCAGCAACAAGCACCCGAGCAGTAGCTGTCGGCACGCCAGACACCATGCATGCAGGCACCGCGAACATGCAGACGAGCATGCACGCTGCACGGCATGCTGCAGTGAGCGCAGTGAATGCAGCCATGAGTGCAGTGAGTACGGGCATGAATGCATCTGCAGTTGCTCCCCAGCAAGGCCCTGTGACGCCACCTCCTGTCTCTGCTGCTGGTCTCTCAGGCCAGCAAGAGTTCATTCAGCAGCAGTGGCAGCGGCAGCAGCAGCAGCAGGTGCCAATGCAGCAGCAGCAGAATGTGCATGTGCGTGCACACATGCCCTCTCTGCCACATCCCGTGGTGGGCATGCCAAGCCGTTCTCTCTCTGCTGCTGCTACAAATGTTGGTGCCAGAGCTGCTGCTGCTGCTTCTCCTGCTGTTGCTCCTCCTGCTGCAACTGCTGGTGCTGTGCCGTCTGCTCGAGTGGCCGTCGCTCCACTCCCCCGTGCCTTTCCTCCCACTGCTGGTGGCACGGCAAGAGCTGCTGCTGGCACGGCAGGAGCTGCTACTGACACGGGTGGCTTGCCTTGTCTGAGCTCTCAACGGACCCATCAGCAGCAACGACAGCACTACCAGCAGCAGCAAGAACGTCAGCAGCAGCAAGAACGTCAGCAGCAGCAGCAGCAGCAGTGGCAGCAGCAGCAGCAGCAGCAACAGTGGCAGCAACAGTGGCAGCAGCAGCAGCAGCAACAGCAGTACCAACAACAACAGCAGCAGCAGCAACAGCAACAACAGCAGCAGCAGCAGCAGCAGCAGCAGCAGCGTGGCATGCCTGTATCAGCGGTGCAAGACATAGCTGCCATGGAAAATGCTTTTGTGCACCGATGGCTGTTGCAACAGCAGCCGCCACAGCAATGGCAGCAACAGCAGCAGCAGCAACAACAGCAGCAACAGCAGCAGCAGCAGAACTCACATCTATTCACAGTTTCAGGGGTGAATCGAGTGTTCGCTGCACCTTCTGCTGCCATCCCTCTGCCTGCTCCACTTTCCCCCTCCGCTGCCACTGCTGCCGTTTCCCATTCTGCTGCTGCAATATCTCCTCCTGCCCTCGTCGCTACAGGTGTACCTCTCGCGCCCTCTTCTCCTGCTGCCCCCCCACATGCCCTCCGCTCACCGCCCCCTACAGTGTTCTCGCCGCCTCTTCCCAACCCCACATCCCCACACACAGCTGCAGCATCGCCCCATGCGCAGCCCCATGCTCCATCGCCCCATGCCCCGTTGCCCCATGCCATCCATGCGCAACCCCATGCGCAACATGCCCGACCTTATGCACAACATACCCAACCCCACGCCCAAAGCCACTCAACTCAACCGCATGCCCAACCCCATTCACAAAGTCGCTCACCTCAACCACACCTGCCCCATGCGCCACAGCCCCACGGGCAGTGCAACGCCACCTCGCCTCCCTCACATGCCATGCATCCGCCGTCAACTGGCCCCCATGCCCCTCTCAACGCCAACCCTGCTCACCTTCCTGACATGGCACAGCCTCAACATGCTGCTGCCCCACACGCCCAGCAGCAGGGGCACATGCATGGTGAGAAGCAGTTGTCTTACTCACTTCACAGTCCTCTCTTTTCTCTCCTGTCTCCTTCCGCCTCTCTCCTCTCTCCTCTCTCCTCTCTCCTCTCTCCTCTCTCCTCTCTCCTCTCTCCTCTCTCCTCTCTCCTCTCTCCTGTCTCCTCTCTCCTCTTACATCTCTCTTCTCTCCTCTGTCTGTCTCCTCCTTTCTCCTCCCCCTTCTCTTTCTGTCCTCTCTCAGTCTCCTCCTTTCCCGCAATTCACTCCACTTTTGTCCTACTGGAGTTCCATTGGTGCACCGCCATATTTCTCCTTTCAGGTCCCCACCCATGCCTCTCCTCTGCTATTGTCCCCCACATGCATCTTTGCCTCTCTACCTCTCCGTTTTGATGCTTTTCCGCCTCTCTGCTTCTCTGCCTCTCAACGTGTGTGCACTATCACAGCAGGGGGCATGGCAGCAAATGTGATTCTCATTGACTCTGACGATGAGTAGCCAATCAACACCACGTGCTTGCTGACGAATAGTCAACTTCACATGCTGACTCACGAGTAGGCAGGCAAGTCCCCACGCCACTGGATTCGCTCGCCTGTCATCTGCCCACCCATCTGCTTACTGCCCCACCCATGTGCTGCCTACATTTGACGGTCTGAGATGGGCAATCCATGTACATCCTCTGTAGTCACTCTGCTCAATGCACAAGCCCTGGTGTACAAGCCTTGTGGCTAGCATACCAACCGTGATCGAGCCAAGTTCTGTTACCGTATTAGTGTGCCTCAAGGCACAGGCATTGTTGCTGACTTGACTCGATGCGCAAAAATGTAGCTAGCATACGGTACCCCGATACAAGTTTCAGCCGTGATTTGATCACAATTACCGTAAGAGTTGCTCTGCCATGCCACATGGCACCTTCCTTTTGTTTTTTTAACCAGTGAGCTCTTCTTGAAGGCTTTTAGAACCTTCGTCTGTAGTACAGTAAAAGTTCCTGAGGGACAATCCATGTAGCTGCAGAAGGGATGGAATACGATAGACCACATGATCTGGATGATGTTACAAAGATCAACGCAGCGCGCTATCACTGGGGGATTAAGCACTACCTCGAACAACACGAGTTGATGGAAGTAAGGCCTCCGCAGCCCACCTGTCTTCTTTTGACAGCCCCCACTACCTCGGACACCAGGTTCACTATGAGGTTGTGGTTGCACTTAGCACCAGGCCCTACGATATCAGGAATTTTTCCCTGAAATTCCTGATTTTCAGCCTAGTTTTGTGTACCTACACTGAATTTTCAGTGTTGATATTTTTGTGACACTGATTTTTTCAGCCTTTACTTCATAGCTAACACTGATGTTTCAGACTTATATCGAAGTGTACACTGAATGCACATTCCGAATCCTTCCCGTAAAACACCCAAGACAATAAGAGCGTATTCCTATCCTCGTATCAAGAGAACCTCGTATCAAGATTGTACTTTTTGCCTGGTAAAACTAGCGAGAGGTTTCGGGTTTAGGGGAATCTTCAGTGGGAGGTTGATATGAGGTTCTCTTGATACGAGGATAGGAATACGCTCTAAGTCAACCAACATTTGCGCATAATAACATCTATTATGAAAAATACTGATTGTTGTGTTGATGAACTGGCTTAGTGGTTAGCGAAGTAGGTACCGATTGGTAAGGTTTTGGGTTCGAATCCCTTTACAACCATGTTCGTAAAGGCTACTCTCTTGCACAATTGCATTATGTGATTGAAAATTCAGGCTTTTGTTTTCCGGAACCCTGAAAATTCAGGCTTTTTTTTTAGGAACCCTGAAAATTCAGGCTTTTTTTCACAGGGACCCTGATGCATCAACGTCCCTAAAAGTGAATCTGAGGGCCTGCTTAGCACACAACTCGTATCAAAATCGAGAGCTCTGTTGCTGTTGCCCTTGCATTCTCTCAGCAAAACCCTGAAGGACTTGAGGTGCCGCGCCGTGCACTGAGCTCGAGGTGCAAAGAACGAGGAAGGTGAACTACTTCCTGGGAGGGAGGGTCTGTTGAATTGCATAGAAGGGCTGGGTCGTGATTCTGTGCAGTATATAATAATGGTGAAATTCCTCACTTCGGCTAAATTGGTGAAGCAATGATACTGAACAAGCTTGTACCATAAAACGCAACCCTGTTCCTGCTACCGGTACGATAATAATCTCATGATTTCCACCCTTCCTTGCCAGCTGCCCCTGTCCCCTTGCTCACAACCAGCTTCCCCCCTTTCCTCACCCCCCTACCTCCTCCCTCCCCTGAACTACACCCATCCCCGCTACCCACTCCCCTTCCCCCACTTCCCACGCTCCCCACCCTCTTCTCCCTCCCTCCTCCCGCCTCCCCTCTCGCACCCCCCCATTCCTCGTCCCACTCATCCCACTCCGACCCACCGTCTGCCCTGCTCCTTCCAGCTTCTCCCCGCACCCCTCCCTGCCCTCCCCCTCCCTGCTTCCCTCCTCCCGGGATCTGCTGTCCAAACGCAACAGACAAATCCACCTCCTGCTGAGCCACCTCAGAGTACGCCGCACCTGGCCCGTGCCTCCCGCTGAACCAGCTGCCGCTGCCCCCTGTTGCTGGCCCACGGCTGGTACTCACGAGGCGGGAGAGGGAGCGGCAGCAGCAGAGGCAGCAGCAGCAGCAGGCGAGCAGTGCGAGTGCAGCAGCAAGGAGCACAGTTTGCCCGGGCGAGAGGAAGAGGGATGTGAGGGGGTAGAGAGGGGCGAGAATGGGTTCCAGGGTTGCAGCCAGGGGCGCGATGACCCAGCGGGAGAGGAACCCCGCTTCCTGCTCTGCATCCCCACCTGTAGCCGCCGCAGCTTTCCCAAAACCTTCCCCAGCAGAGGCGGCACCACCGTCAGCACCACCGGTAATTGACTCCTCAGCGCCCCCCTGTGGCTCATTCCCTGCCGCACCAATAGCATCAGCAGCATCTGAATCAGCGGCGTTGGTGGGCTGGGGGGGTTCAGGGGGGATGTCAGAGAGGTCAACGGAGACCATCTCCTCGTCCACTGGCACGTCCATCACGTCCTGTGGCCCCGTGAACGCCACCTGCACCTCCTCTCCCGCTCCCTCCCCTCCTCCGCCTCCCTTTTCCCCTCCGCCTCCCCCTCCTCCGCCTCCCCCCCCGCCTCCCCCCTTTCCCCCGCTTTCTCCTGTTCCCGCATCTGCTGCTGCTGCTCCGTCTGCTGCCTCTCTCTCCGCGCTCCCGCCCTCACTCCCGCCCTCGTCCTTGTCCTCGCTGCTGCGTTTCGTCGTGCTCTCTGTCGTGCTCTCGCCCTCCCCACCCGGCCCCCCTTCCTCCTCGTCCCCAGCAGCCCGCGCTGCTCCTGCTTCCCCCTTCTCCTTACCACCCCCTTCCCCCTCCCCATCCTCCTCCTCCGATTGCTTCTTCGACTTGTTCTTTTTCTTTCTGCTGCTCGTTGCATCCGCTGCTCCCCGCTCATTCCCCTCACTCCGCTCACCCCCTTCACCCTCCTCGCCTTCCGCCTCCTGCTGCTCCCCTTCAACCTCTTTCCCCCGTGCTGCCCTTGTTGACTTGCTTGATTTTTTTGACTTGCTTGACTTGGTCATTACCGCATCCTCTCCACCTTCCTCCTCATCACTCCCCTCCTCCCCACCGTCCGCCTCCCTCACCTCACTTTTCTTCCCCTTGATTCTTTTCGTTCGCTCCCCCTCCCTCTCACTGTCCCCGTCCTCGGCATCTTCCCCCTTCCCCGCAATCACCGCTTCCGCCTCCGCCATCGCCTTATCCACTGCGGAGAAGCCTTCCCCGTCCTCGCCATTTGGGCTTCCCCTTTTTCCGCTCGTCCTACCCGCTCCCGTCCCCGTATCATCAACCTCTCCCCCCTCCGCCTCCTCTTCCCCCTCCGCTTCCCTCACAGAATCGACAGCCTTCTTGCTTCCCGTCTTCTTCGTTTTCTTCGCTTTCTTTGTCGTCTTCTTCTTCTTAACCACTCGAGCCGCCTCCTCGTCTCGCGCGACTTCCGCGTCGGCCGCATCGTCCGCCGCTCCTCTCTCCGCTTCGGCCGAGATTCCTTCCTCGTCCTCCGCAATCGCCGCTGCTTTCGCGGTCTTAGACGTCGACTTTTTCTTTTTCTTCTTCACTTTTAAAACCCTGGCAACAACGCGGTCAACATTCTCAGACTCCATAATCGGATCCAATTCAGCAGCGGTTGCTACGATTCCTGTATAAGCTGACGCGGTAATGCGCGGAAGGCCCTCGCGTTTAGCGTCATTGCCCGTTGAAAGGCGCGCAGCGGAGGCCACGTGCGACAGAAGCAGCAGGAGAGAGAACACCACGGCGGTAAGAGATATCACGCTGCGACATCGCCATGCGACTGCCGTGGCGGCCGCCATGGATTGCGGAGACTCAGCCGCGTCGCGTATTTGATACGGACTGTTCACGACAATGGGTCTATGTATCCTAGACAACATGATAAGTTTGTTTACAGCCCAAGCCAGTTTTGTATGGTAGGTGCGTACTCGTCAGGGGATCAGGCAGGAGCGCGACAGAAGCGTAGTGTCCTTTATACACTTGGAACTTCTAAATATTACACGATGTACTGCAAGGTACACGTTAAGATTTTCCAATAATGGATTAATATATCATGTACTACATCTCTTTTGGAGCCAATATGTTGTCATAGATCTTCCCTTTTTCTTGGCATGTACTTCCCAATCTGACGCCACTTCCACAACCAAAGGTCCTTGCAAAGCAGATGAATGTTGGGTAACTTCGTCAATCATACCCTCCTTTGAGATGTCAAGGTCAGGAAGACCATTGCTATCACTGGCACTGGAATCGCCATCGCATAGCACGAGTTCGCCTTGGGACCACCTAATGGCATCGTATGTCAGCCGTGTTGCCACCTCCTCAATGTCTGACTCGATCAAAATCTGCGAGCCAGAAAGATTACCACACAACCCATAATTGCCCCGTGCCGTGGCCATGCTCTCATACATCACGGAAAAGTGGTCCCACAGAAAGGTTCAATGCAAGAGAGAACGACCTTAAAAAAAAACACACATAAAGACGGGTGTAGCGGAGCATACTCACCTTGCCCGGGGGGTGCAGCAGGGCAAGCATGGCGTGCACGAGGGCAGGGGTGAGCATGCCCCACCGGTGCACGTGTGCTGTGCCCCTCTCCTGCGCTCTCCTGCTGGCTGCGAAGTCAGGGTCCGGGCACTGCCATGTGCGAGAAGGGCAATGGAACGTTGACAGGTTGGGCTGTTAAATCAACTAAAAAATCCTGCTCGCTGCAAAGTCTGGGTTTGGGCACTGCCGTGGGTGCCAGAGGCAAGGGGCCGTTGAAGGAATGCCAGGGCAGATAAGGAATGTTTGGACACCCTTTTGAAATGGAGATGGGAAACTGGGATGGGAAGGCTGAGGTGGTGGATGGGGCAGGGATAATTGTGAGTCAACTCAGAGAAGTGATATTAGCGCAATGTGGGGAGGATGGGGGTACCTGGATGGTGATGAGGTTGATGGGGCCAGGGTAGCCGACTAGCAGCGAGTGCAGAGACGTGGTGGCATTGGCATGGATGAACCACCTGCATGGAGCACCAGAGGGGCGGGCATACCGCAGGGGGGCGGGCAGTCATGGAAGCAGCTAGGATCGGCCCAGTGGTTGCACGCGTTATGAGACGGGTTTTGAGTCTACTAAATCAGTGTCTCATCTCATGCGGCAGGCATACAGCACGATGGGCAGGCAGTCATGGAAGCAGCCAGAAATGGGTCAGTGGTGTTGCACGCGTGAACACGAGGGTGCTACACTGCCACGTTAGCATGCTAGCCTGCGGTGGGTTTGAGTGGACAGGAGTGGCAAGGGCAATATGTATGTACAAGTGCCGGACGGCAGAGTGAGTGGCGTTCATACACGTTGCTTGGTGCGTGCTCCCTGCGCTGCCCGGGAATGTCCCTGACAGAGGTGGGCCTGTGTGAGGCATGCGGTGCGGGAGAGCTGACAGCCATAGAGAGCGCCTTCTTCACCAGCTGGTGTGATGTGCGGCAAGTGGGTGAAGGGGAGAGGGAGGGAGACGGGGGGAGAGGGGGTGAGAGTGTGAATGGGTGTGCGAGTGCGAGTGTGTGTGGGTGTGCATGAAAGTGTGAGTTTGATTGTAAGTGAGTATGAGGGTGCGAGTGAAAGCGCGTTTGAAAGAGTGTGTGCTGTGCGAGTGAAGGTGGGTATTTGCTTGTTCACTCCTCACGCACATGCGGGTTGATCTCCACCCCAAGAAAGTTCCTTGACTCTCTGAACCGCACCGCCATGCTGCGACAGAAGCGCCCGTTGCCTGCACTCATACGCACACGCTCACACGAACACATGCACACATGCACGGCAAAGGCCACACTCTGAACATTGCCGAATCCTCAGGGTCCCTCTGGAGCTCTTTGATTCTCACAACTCCTCTCACTCTTCCAGGCATGCAGCAGTCCCGCACTCACCACAGCCGATGTCAACAGTAAGGGGCAACGAGGGATCAAGGAAGACTGTGGACCAATTGGGAGGTGGCAGTGGCACCTGGGAGAGAACGGTGGTACGTACAGGAGACATAAAGGGGAGAGATAAAGGAAGAGATGGGAAGATAAGGGGAGGGAGGCAGCACGAGCGAATGGTGCTGGCTATGATTGCTTCACGACTAGTCAATGCAGGGAATGCTAGTCAACTCACAAAGTCAAGGCAGTCAACTCACAAAGTCAAGGCAGTCAACGCCAGGAAGAGGCATCCCTTGGAGTCCACGAAGCAGAGCCGTCCCTCCATCCACCACCACACACTCCCTGCCCCCCTCCCCATCCCCATCTCTCCTCCCCTTCCCCTCCACCATCTCCTTATGCTGCCGTAACTGCCGCCCCAGCACCTGCTGCAGCTGCCGCCCAGCCACTATGAGTTTTGACCGGCCCATTTGAGCAGCAGTGGCAGTAGTAGGAGCAGCAGCAAGGGTGGCAGTGGTGGAGGCAGGCGAAGGACTGCTGGCGCCGCTGCTTTTGCTGGTGGGTGTGGTGGTGAGACGGGCAAGCAGAGCAGAGTCAGCACAAGGCAGTGCATGCGACCCTTTCTCCTCCAGCCCATGCTCTGACCCACTCGCCCCTTGCGCCCTGTGCGCCCCATGCGTTGATGCACGGGTGCTCGGCCGTGGTGGCTGCGGAGAGATGGAGCCCGCCCAGAAGACAGTCTGATGACTCCAGGCAGGGGGGGAGAAAGAAGAAGAGGGGAGATATTGTGTTGGGATCCATGCAGGGAGGGAACTCTGAGCTGGCTAAAATGTATTTGCGTGGGGGCAGGGAGATACAGCCCGCTCAGAAGAGAGTCTGCTAGATTCATGGAGGCGGAGATGGGAACAAGGCGATGGCAAAAACGGAGGAGAGTGAATGAGGAAGTTGGAACGCATCGGAGGTGGGGCGAATGCAGCTGTTGCATTGTGGTGCGAGGCATGAGGGAGCATGTGGAGGTGGGGGATGTGGAGATGAGGGGGTGTGGGGAAGGGGAGTGCCGACCTTGCAGTTGAGGGCAGCACAGAGCCGAGCGACGTCCTCAATGCTTGACGGGCACAACTCCACCCGCTGCTGCTGCCACTCACACTGCTGCTTCTTCTCATACAGCTGCTTCTGCTGCTGCTGCTGCAGCTGGTGGTTGTGGGAGTGAGTAGTAGTGGTGCCGTGAGTAGCAGGTACCGCACGCACAGCAAGGGGCAGCACGAGGCGGGAGAGGAGGGGAGAGGGCAGCGAGGAGAGGAAAGCAGAGGCTTCCGCCACGGCTTGTGGTGAAGGCCGGGGGAGAGCAGCTAGGAGGGACGCGATGTTCGTACGTGGACCCGCTGTCTCCCCTCTTTCTGCTGTCTCAGCTCCATCTGATTCACTATGTGCTGCTGCTGGATCACTGCAGTGCAGTGTGGCAAGAGTAGGAAAATCGGGCAGGCAGGCAAGGTGGAACCCACAACCACCTGAACCAGCAGCAGTACGAGCATTAGCAGCAGCGAGGAGGGCAGGTAGCTCGGGGCCAGAGAGCACGAGGGCATTGCATCGAGGCAGCAGGGCGCGGATCAACGCACCACTGCGACCCATGCTTGCCACTCCCACCACTCCCACCACTGCCACCACTGCACTGCGCCCCTCACTACCACTCACCTCTCCAGCCCCCCTTTCCGCCGTCACCTCCACGTGTCCCACACCCCCCACGCCCCCCACTCCCCCTACGTCCGCCAAGTCCTCTAGCACCCCCATAAGCTCTCTCTCCACCCGGACCCCAGCAACAGCCCTGCCCACCACTGCTGCCACGCCCACGCACGACGCCAGCACGCGATGGCACGCAGAAGGCGCGTCCAGCACCACTAGATCTACCACCGGGACGGGGGATGCTCGGAATGTGTGGGAAGCGGGGGAGGGGAGCGTGGTGGTCGGTTCTTGTAGCCTCTCCTGCCCTGCCCAGGTTAGGTCCCCTAACTGCTGCTGCGCTGCCATTTCTGTCCCAGGGCGATCGGTTGGGTTTGGTAGCTCCTGCTGCACTGATGCACTGTCGGGTTCTTCTGCCACGCCTGCCAGCGTGGCAGCTAGGGTGGGTGAGTTGGCGGCATCGGTGGATGACACGTGGCGGAGGTTGGGCAGCAGCAGGACGTGAGGAGGGGGGGGCGCGAGGGGAGGGGAGTGGCGTGGGCGTGAGGGCGAGTTGGGGGTGGTTGCAGGGTGAGGGGTGGGAGTAGTGGTGCTGGGGGTTGTTGGTGGTGGAGGTGACAGGAGAGGGGCGAAGTGCAGAGGTGCGACCTGGACAGGCTGGGACTGGGACAGGCCGCATGCCGCGGATAGCAGGGCTGCACGTGAGGAAGGGGAGGGGAATTGGAAGAAGGGAGGGCTTTAAGAACGAATGGGAGAAGTGAGAGGAGCCATACCTCACGATCGCCATGCACCATGCAGGACTAGCCATGTGCTAGGCGGTTGCCATATGCCCTGCCTGCCACTTGCATGCATCATTCATGCCGCATGTCTCACCAGCGACAGCAGGTTGAGAGGCCGTGTCAGGCGCCCACTCTCCCGCCACCACCACCACCAGAGCATATTTCCGTGCCCACTCGCGCAGTATCAGTCTCAAACTGCCCACACTCCGCACCTCGTTCTCCTCCCCCTCCCCCTTCCCCTCCGCTACCCCCTCCCCCTCCCCCTCCGCTCCCCCCTCTGCCTCCCCCTTTCCCCCATTCCCCGCACTCCCCCCCGCCACCAGGTCACTCAGGTCGCACCGCAGCAGCATAACCCGCCGCTTCCACTTCTCCTCCCCCTGCCCTCCGCGCGTGCCATCCCCCTCCGCCGCCCCTTGCGTAATCTCCCCCTGCCTTCCCCTTTGCAGCTCCCGCTCAAGCGCAATCAGCCCCCTCAGGGTCTGTCTCTCCGCCGCCCCTCCCCCCCGGTACCTGCCCTCCCCCATACCCTTCCCCTTCCCCTTCCCCTCTCCCGCTTTCAACCCATCCTTTCCGCCAGTCCTTCCGCCCTTCTCCTGCTGCGCGCTCCCGCCTCTCTGCCTCTCTCCCGCAGTTGCGCTTATCCGCCCATCATGCGCCCCTGCGCCGATTCGATTAACACTACGACAGTTTAAGCATGAATTTCCCGTCAATCGAAACCCCCGATATAAGCACAGTCCTTGCGGGAGACTGACGCGCCGCGCCGCAATTCGTTCCCACGACCGCGACACCCCAGCACGCGCCGAGCAGACGGCACGCGCGGGGAGGGCCGGCAATCCTCCGCTGCGCAAACCCGGTGCGCATGTCTGAGCGGAGACTTCTGGCGGAACAACGGCACCGTGTGCGCGCGCAGTGAGTGCGCAGTACGGTGCGCGCGCCTGCGCTAAGGGGGTTGTCATGACGCCCCTGCGGCTTGGCCCTCCCCGCGCAGCTCGAAATTCTCGACTACTTGGCTAGTCGCTGGTCATTGTGCATGAGCGCGAGGCGGTGTGCGAGTAGCCATACTGCGAGATGGCGCGAGATCAGTTGTGGATTGGAGCGGAAGTGGGATTGGAAAGAAATAAACTGCGCGCCAAATTTCCGAAACCCTAAATCTTATACCCTGCAGATTTTCGGACCTGATATTGTCGGACTCGAGAAGGTGTTAGTACACGAATTTTGTGCAGGGTTTGAGAGCCCAACCACATATAAACTCGGTGAGTGCAGTTGATCACCGAACCGAAATCCTCCATTCGCCGCTCCGCTAGTCTATTAGCAACCGTCACTACCACGTCCGTTGCTAGATTTTTGCGCCACAAACGGCGGGTCGTTGCGAGCTAGACCGCAACATCGCGGAGCGGCAGTGAGCAGTAGAGCACAGCAGCAGCTATAGGCGCCCCATGCCGGAGCGCGTGCGCGCACGTGAAGCAGTGAGCGAGGGATAATTCTAGCTATCGGACGAGCGCGCGAGCGCGCGCAGTCTGCGGGAAGGCGGGATGGCGGTGGGCGCTGTGGCGGACGGAACGGGGGGTGGGCGGAGCGGGAAGGAGGGGGGCGGGGAGAAGGCGGCGAGCACGGCGCGGCTGCTGCGCACCGTGCTGAGCTGGGACTTCTTCCACATGCTCGCACTCTCCAAGGTAATACTCATGTTCTCGTCCTCCTCAAGGCAATACTCGTGCCATCGTGCCTCTTGATTCCTCCTTCTCTCTCCACTGCCCCCCCTTCTCCCCAACCCCTGTCGCATGTGGCACTGCGTGTGGGCGAGCAGGTGCGCGAGAGGAAGCGGCAGCCCAGGAAGCTCCCCCAACTTCCTGCTGCTGCTGATGCTGCTGCTGCTGTGGAGGAGAAGGAGGGGGAGGAACGAGAGGCTGATGAGGCCAAGGACGCTGCGTTGGCTGATGCAGACGCAGGCACGGAGGCAGCAGCGGCGCTAGTGGCGCAGGGGGAGGGGATGGAGGTGGATGGCGGAGAGGCAGGGCAGGGGGAAGGCGGCGCAGGAGCAGAGGAAGCAGCAGAGGAAGCAGCCGCGGAAGAAGAAGAGGCAGCAGCAGAGGGCGAGGGGGAGTTGGAGGGGGAGGAGGATGAGTTGAGGGAGGTGCCGGTGCAGTTCAGCAGCGCAGAGGAGTATGTGGACGTGTTCGAACGCCTGCTGCTGGAGGAATGCCGCGCGCAGATCCTCCGAGGGGCCGAGGAGCAAGGTGCGTGTGGTGGGGGGCGGGGAGGGGGGTAGAGGGAGTGTGTGTGTTGTGGACGCGGTTGATGCCATCCCTTCTCCTATTCCGTGCACATGATGTTGCGCCTATAGGCATAAGTCACGTTGCTCGGAGAATCTGAGCTGCCCACCACTACTCATCATCCTGTTCGCCTCCTCCTCCGTTGTTGTTTCCACCCACGTGGCCCCTGTGTCTCCCCCCACATGGCAGGCGGCATGGAGAGTCATCTGGTGGTGGCGGTGCGGTGTGAGCGAGCCAACGAGTTCCACATGGTGGGGGTGGCGTCCAAGGAGGCCCTCGTGGCGGACTGTCACGACAACGACCTGCTGCTGCTCTCCAAGGAAAAGGTGACTCGCGCTCTTTCCTCCTCTTATTCCACGCGCGCGCGCGCCTTGGTCCACACGCGCGCCTTGGTCCGCGCGCGCGCAATGGTCCGCGCGCGCGCCTTGGCCCGCGCCATGGGGCGGCTGCGAGTTAACCAGCACATACGCGATCGCGAGTGTGGAGTCCTTTGAGACCAAAACACCCCTTTCTCCTCGTTCCACTCTTACCCCCCTTCGCTCGTCTTGCCCCCCTTTGCTCACTTACACTCTCGTCCCTCCCCTCTCTCCCCCACAAAGCCATGGGGAGGCAGCGCGCTGCCCAGCACATACGCCATCGCCAGTGTGGAGTCCCGCGAGACCAAAACGTCTCTGCGCCTGCGACTGTGCCTGGAGGACCCGTGGCAGTGGGCGGACCCCGGGGACCCACCCTCCACCGCAGCAGCAGACGACCAACAGGCCGGAGGAACAGGGGCAGGCGGGGAGGGCACAGAAGCAGGGCCAGCAGAGGGGAAGGGGAAGGCGCTGGGGAGGAGGTGGGGGGTGCGGCAGCGGGCGCGAGCCAACCGGATGCTGTCGTTCCTGATGGGGGCGGCGGCAACAGGCGGCAGTGCGTGCTGGGTGAGCAAGCTGTGCAACACGTCCACCATCTCGCGTGAATACGCCGCTCTGCGCTCCGCCCCCACGCTGCCCTACATCCGCACCGTGCTCGCCTCCCACATGCCCGCCCCGGGGCACACTCAAGCAGCCGCAGCAGCAGGAGGAGCGGGAGGAGGAGGGGAGGAAGAGGAGGAGGGAGGGGGGGGCGCGGGACCGGGGAAGCAGCAGCAGTGGCGGGTGCCGGAGGGGCTGATGGAGCATCTGAGTGCGAGCCACAACGAGTCGCAGCTGAGGGCCATCAAGGGCGGGCTGTCCCGCCGCCCCCTCGTGCTCATCCAGGGGCCCCCTGGCACCGGCAAGACGCAGGCCATACTGGGGCTGCTCAGTGTGGTGCTGCATGGCCGGCCGGCGCACGAGATGGGGGATGCCGGGTGAGTGGGTGGGCCTGGTGGGTGTCTTGTGGGTAGGTGGGAGTGGAAGGGAGAGTGTGTCCGTGAGCACCAACCCGTGCGCACCAACCTGTGAGCACCAACCCGTGAGCACCAACCCGTGCGCACCAGCCTTGCTCACATGGCAGCAGCAGTCCCCTGGTGCTCATCCAGGGTCCCCCTGGGCACGGGCAAGACACAGGCCATCCTGGGGCTGCTCAGTGTCGTGCTGCATGGCCGGCCCGCACACGAGATGGGGGAGGCCGGGTGGGTGCTGGGTGGGCGGGTGGGTGGGTGGGTGAGGGAGCGTGTGTGTGTGTGCGTGGGGTATATGAGGCCATTGTTATCCTCATTGTACCGTGGCAGTACCAGCAGCAGCAGCAATGGCGGCAGTGGCAGGGGCTGTCATAACCCGCCCTCTTCCTTCTTCCCCACCACCCTTCACCCCACTCCAGCAACGGCGCGCAGCACATCACACACATGACACGCCTGACATGGCAGCAGCGGCAGCAGCAGTAGTAGGGACTGCCTCAGAGAATCTAAGGGCCCCACCCATTTCCCCTCCCTGCCCTTCCCTTCACCCTACCCACAGCAACGGCGCGCAGCACATCACGCACATGACGCGGCTGACATGGCAGCAGCGGCAGCAGCAGTGGGTGCGAGCGTCCCCCTGGCTGCACGGGGTGAACCCGCGAGAAGCTGTACAGCCAGATGATGAGGAGGAGGGTGGTGCAGGGAGCTCGGGAGGCGGTGTCTTTGGCAGCACACAGCAGGTGGGGCTGGCTGGCCGGCCATGGGATGCAGCAGGTGGGGGTGGGCGGCGCATGGCATGCGGCTGAGAGGCAATGAGTGGTGGATTCCCTTTGGCACATGGCGTGACTCACTCCCCTTTCCGCGGCTGCTTCTCCCGTGCTCTGTCACGTGGTACATCTGTAATCGCCCTGCCTTCCTCCCTTTTCTCCTCGCCCTCTCCTTCTCCCTCCGCCCTTTCCTCGTCCACTCGTCTCCACCAAACCAGCAGACCCTCTCCACCCTCTCTCTCCCTCCACCAGGTGGAGGTGTTGGGGGGCCATCGCAAGCAGAGGGCGCACGTGCTCGTGTGTGCGCCCTCCAACGCTGCTCTCGATGAGATTGTGCTGCGCCTGCTGCACACAGGTGAGTGTTTCTTGAGAATTCTACTAAAACTGTGCAGATGTGAGATCAACTCAAAAAATGCGTCACCATGTATCACCCCTCTCTTCCTGAGGGCATAACATGCCATGTCATGCACCTAGTGCGTCATTCGCTCCCTCCATCCCATCCCACCCCACCCCATGCGTGCAGGCCTGAGGGACGACAGTGGAGGCATGTATTCACCGTCGGTGGTGCGCGTGGGGCTCAACGCTCATCACTCCGTCGCCTCTGTCGCCATGGATAACCTGGTGGGTGTTAGGGCTGTCATATGCATGTGTGGCGGTATTTGTGGTGGCACATGCGACTGCATGGTCACTGCGCTCTACTCGTGCATCACTCTAATTTCTGACGGTTGTTATATTCTTTCCTACATATACTAGTACTTGTAGTTGTATTACTTACGCGGGATTCCTTTCTCTGAACACATCCCCTCTCTCCCCCTTTCTCCGCTCCTCCCCACCTCACAGGTATCTCAGCGAGCCAGCAGCATGGCACGGTCAGCAGCGGGGGTGGGAGCCAAGACAGCAGGGGCAGGCGGGGTGGAGCGAGACAGAATACGAGTCGCCATTCTCGACGAGGCTGCCATTGTGAGGCCCCATGTTTGTAGAGCATGATGTGAGAGCATGATGTGAGAGCATTTCTTTGTGCAAGGAGAGCTGGTTGGTTGAGACCTCCTACATCTGTCCAGGCGCCATATGTCTTGTCCTTCTCTCCTCCTGCACGGCAAAGCCTTTCCCCTTAGAAGTTTTCTCACTGCAAACCGTTGCTTCGTCTGGCGCCACCAAAAATCACACCTCTATCCACCCACCAATCCATCCATGCCCCTTGTCCCTTTTCTCACTCCCATGTCTTCTGCCCGTTTCCTCCCCCCACCCATGCCCCGGCCCCATCCCACCGGTCCCAAGGTGTGTTCAACGCTCGCGTTCGCAGGGTCAGGTGTCTTCTCGCGCATGTCACGGCCATTCGACGTGGTGGTCATTGACGAGGCGGCTCAAGCGGTCAGTGCAGCACCTGTATCTGCCTCTTTTGCTGTGCCTCTGTCTCTGTCTCTGACTCTGCGCTCTGCCCCTCACTTTGCCTCTGCCTCTGTCCCTACCTCTCCAGCTGCCTCTGCTTCTGCATTGCTCATGCCTGCATGCCGCCGTGTGTGCCTGGCCCCACCCATGTGCCCACCAGGTGGAGCCATCAACGCTCATCCCAATGACTCACGGGTGCTCGCAGGTGTTCATGGTGGGGGACCCGCTGCAGCTGCCAGCCACTGTGCTCTCCACACGCGCCGTGCACTACGGGTGGGTGGGATAACGCGTCACGTTCAGCACATGCACTATGGCTGGTCGGGTGAGATGAGAGGCGTGCTAGCTGGTATGCACAGGTTGCTGCTCGCAGGTGTTCATTGTGGGTGGGCGACCCATTGCAGCGGCTAGCCAATGTGCTCTGCACCCACACTGTGCATTACGGGTGGGTAGCTGAGATGAGAGGCATGCTACCGTATTCTGCTCTTTCCAGAGGTCTAAGATAGATTATCGGCTCTTTCTACCTCTCTCACTCCCCATCTTTTCTTGACCTTTCCTCGTTCCCTGTGTCTCATCCGGCCCCTTCCACTCATGCCTCACATCCATCCCACCCCACCAGGTACCATGGCAGCATGTTCTCTCGCCTGCAGCAAGCGGGGTACCCTGTGGTCATGCTCAACACACAGTACCGCATGCACCCCATGGTAAGGCATGTCGGATGTGCGAACTTCAAACTTCGCCTCTTCTGTTCACTGTCAGGTAGCCACTGTCGTGAGGAATAGCCTCCCAGGTGTCTGTTCCCATATACCCATTCTCAGGTACCTGTATCCAGGTAGTGCCAGGTGTCAACGGCTCATCTCGGATTGTGCTGCCCCGCAGAAGTCTTACTCCCACCCCATCCACAACCCCACTGATCGCATTCGGCAATGCCCCTCCAACTAGTTTGACAGCAGGGCGTTTCCATCTCTGCCCCACGACGACCCCCCATTTCACCCACGCCCAACCCACCAGATCCGGCACTTCCCCTCGCACGAGTTCTACGGCGGCGCACTGAGGGACGCGCCTCAGATGGCGCAGCACAGTGCAATGCCCGTCTCCCTTCTGCTGCTCACAACCACCCACAACCCCTCTCCACCGTGCCGCCCCACCAGATCCGGCACTTCCCCTCGCACGAGTTCTACGGCGGCGCATTGAGGGACGCGCCGCAGATGGCGCAGAACACGGCGCGGCCGTGGCACGCTGAGCGCGTGTTCGGGCCGTTGTTCTTCTTCGACCTGCACCAGTCCAAGGACGAGCAGCCTCGTGCGTGGGGAAAGTTTGAAAGGGAAGTAGGGGAGAGTGGGTGGACGAAAGAGGGTAGAGGGGAATGGTTGCAGGGAATGGGTAGCGGTTATGAGTGGTTGAGCAGAAGGAGCGGGCTGTGTGTGTTCGGGCCGTTGTTCTTCTTCGACCTGCACCAGTCCAAGGACGAGCAGCCGCGTGCGTGGCTGGTGCTTGGGGATCTAGGGAGAAGCCAGAAGGGGGAGTGGTTAGGGGGAGAGGGAAGGAGAGGGTACGGGGAGAGGGTCGGGGTAGGCAGGGAGAGAGGTTGGCAGTTGTGGAAAGTGAGAGGATGGAGCAGATTTTGTGATGGGGGGCAGTGCTGCACTGCCACGTGGTGGGCGAGCGCTCTTTCGCTCCGACCCCCTCCCGTCCACCCTCTCCTCATGCCTCTCTCCAATCAAATTCTTTTTCTGTCGCCCTACCAGCGGGTGGATCGTGGATGAACGCGGACGAGGCGGAGTTTGTGATGGTGCTGTGCTGCCACCTCGTGGTCAGCACATGGTGGGGTTCCCCTCTGCCCATTGAGAGCACGATGTATTGTCTCCATTTCACTCACTCCTTGTGCCACAGCGGAAGGCTCGTGGATGAACAAGGACGAGGCGGAGTTGTGATGGTGCTGTACCGCCACCTGGTGGCGCTGTACCCTCAACTCCCTTCAACCCACCCATTCAAACCAGCTTGTTCTCACGCCACGCGCCCCTTCCTCTGCTTGCACCACAGCGGGCGGCTCGTGGATGAACAAGGACGAGGCGGAGTTTGTGATGGTGCTGTACCGCCACCTGGTGGCGCTATACCCGCAACTCAAGGAGTCCTCTGACGTCGGTGTCATCTCCCCGTACAAGCACCAGGTGAGATGTAACCTCCGTGTCATCTCCCTGTACAGTTCCCCGTACAGTTACTGCAAGGTGCGTTGCAGATGATGTGTCTGTGCAACCTCTTCATCTGGACTTTTCCCCATTGCTTTCCTAATTCCCCTCACTCTGGTGCCTCCTCTCAGGTGAAGCTGTTGCGAGACAAGTTTAGAGAGCTGCTGGGCGAGGGGGCTCATAGAGTGGATGAAAGCACATGATGCTGAAAGTAGGCACGAGCAAATGGCTGGTTTGGGTCGGCCCAAAAAGATCCCGAATCTCCCCCCTCTTTTGGTTCTTCCTCTCAGGTGAAGCTCCTGCGAGACAAGTTTCGAGAGCTGCTGGGCGAGGGGGCTCATAGAGTGGATGTCAACACCGTTGACGGATTCCAGGTGCGCGCTGCTGGTGTTGACGGATTCCAGGTGCGCGCTGCTGGTGTTGACGGATTCCAGGTGCGCGCTGCTGGTGTTGATGGCTTTGCTGGGTCTTGTGCGTTGCGTGCCCATGTAATGCTCCTTTTTATCATGTTTCATGTGATGCTCGTTTCATGTGATGCTCGTTTCATGTGTTGCTCGTTTCATGTGATGCTCGTTTCATATGTTGCTCGTTTCATGTGTTGCTCGTTTCATGTGATGCATGTTTCATATGTTGCTCGTTTCATGTGTTGCTCGTTTCATGCCATGCTTTTGTGCGCATGCTCTGCTTGCAGGGCCGAGAAAAGGACGTGATCATATTCTCGTGTGTGCGGGCGGGGAGGGGCAAGGGCAAGAGCATCGGGTTTCTGTCAGACTATCGGCGCATGAATGTCGGCATCACACGCGCCCGCTCCTCCATGCTCGTGAGCCTTGCTCTCATCTGCTCCCCTTCCATGCTCGTGAGCCTTGCTCTCATCTGCTCCCCTTCCCTGCTCCCATCTCTACCCATGTTGCACCTTCCCTGCTCCCATGTATCCATGCTCTCATGCTCCACACAGCACCCCTGCTTCACCATCCGTACATCGCGTTCAAAGGCATCTACTGTGCTCACCTCTGCATGGGTGCATGGGTGCATGGGAGCAGGTGGTGGCGAATGCAGCAGCGCTGATGGTGGACGAGCATTGGGGCAACCTGGTCAAGCATACCCGCTCCACCAACCGATACCTCAAGGTCTGCCCTCTTGTTCCCATGTACTGTGGTCACATGCACTGCCACAAGTCTCAAGTCCTCCCCTCAAGTCACCTTCGTCATCCTCCCCTCCCTGCAGGTGTCACGCCCCTTCCACCGCATCTTCGCCAGTGACCATCTGGAGAAGATGAGAGCAGTGGCCCATGCCGAGGGGGAGGGGGAGGGAGCGCCAGGAGCGGAAGCAGGAGGAGCACCAGCAGCAGCAGCAACAGGGCCTGCTTTCAAGAAAGCTCCCACACTGGAGGATTTCGGGGGAAAGCTGGACAAGGGGGATGGGGGGTTGGGTGGGGAAGGGGATGGGGTGGGGGAGGGAGTAGGGGAGGAGGAGGGGGGGGAGGGGATTGGGGAGGAGGAGGAGTTTGAGGTGGCGGTCGAGGCGGGGGACTTTGATGAGGACAACATCGACGGCGAGGGGTCAGTGGTTTTCTGTCTCTGCCTTCCCTCCTGTCTCTGCTTGCTCTTCCGTCCTGTTCTCTTGTCTCCTGCATCTGAGTTTCCAGTCGACTCAAAATCAGTTTGAGGTGGCGGTGGAGGCGGGGGACTTCGATGAGGACAACATTGATGGGAAGGGGTCAGTGCACTTCTCTCTCCCCCTGCTGTACCTCCTGCCCCTTGCCTTGCTTCCTGCCTATTTTGTCTATTGCATCTGAGACTTGAGTGGTGGCGGTGGAGGCGGGGGACTTCGATGAGGGCAACATCGATGGGGAGGGGTCAGTGCACTTCTCTCTCCCCCTGCTGTACCTCCTGCCCCTTGCCTTGCTTCCTGCCTATTTTGTCTACTGCATCTGAGACTTGAGTGGTGGCGGTGGAGGCGGGGGACTTTGATGAGGACAGCATCGATGGGGAGGGGTCACTGCACTTCTTCCCCTGCTATTCCTCCTGCCCCTTCGCTTTGCCTCGTGCTTCTCTTGTTTCCTGCATCTGATTCTTGAGTGACTCGAAAGGAGTCTGGGGTAGCGGGGGAGGCGGTTGATGATGTCAAGCTACATGGAGAGGGGTCAGTAGTGCCTCTTGCCTCCTGCCCTGCCTTGCCTCCTGCCGCCTCACCTCAATCACATTTGTCATGCTCAATTTACGTCTTGGTGGTTCCTTCATACGTGTCTATCCTGCCTTTCCTCGTCCCTCACCCCTTGCCTTGCCTTGCTGCCACACAGGCCTTCTTGGTGAGCCAAGCACATGTCAACCACATCGCTACCATACTCCACAGCAACACCGGTACTGTACCGGTACATGCCACGATTATTTGGTCTGTTTGCGTCATGAGCACAGCAGCATGGGCCCCACGTTTGCCGCAGCCGTTGCTTAGCCCATTGCTGGATCGGCAATGCTTTGCTTGTGTTGTTTAATCTCAATGAATGATAGCACATCGCTGAAAAAAATAAGCTACTAACATCACATGTACACCATAAAAAGCTGTAGTGTACCAAACGGCCTCATCTTCTGGAAACCTCAAACTCTTGCAGGTACTTGGGGTTGTGGGGGTAGTCTAGGCCGTGCAGCACTGGCATTCTGCGCAGATCCTCTGGTGAATACATTGGTAGGAACCAGTACCTTCTATCCATGCCGAATACCTGGTGTGGCATACGCGGTGTGGATGACAGAGGGACACATGGACACATGCACACAGAAACACACAAACAGACAAGCCCAACAGAAGAATTCAACACGCGAACGGAGACCGGCAACAACCCTATGTGCCCCTGACAAGTCCATGAACCACAGGCCAAGAGCAAAGGAGTCAGGGGAGGAAAGTGAGTGTGCCTGCATGTGCACACACACACACAAAGACAGGACACGGCACGCTCCCTACCTGCTCGAAGTTCCTTCGCCTGCCCAGGTCGTAGCGCCATCTGTGCGACCCCCTCTTCTCAAACGCCTGCACGCCATGGCATGGCAGCAGCGGGGGGAGGGGGGATGTAGGGGGGAGGAGGGGATGCACAAGCGTGACTTGATGGGGGGAACAGGGCAGCTCCTACGCGTGATGGTGTAGTGAGTGTGATGGTGTAGTGAGTGGGATGGTGTAGTGAGTGTGATGGTGTAGTGAGTGTGATGGTGTTGAGTGTGGTGAGAAGAACATGGCGTGGCAGCGGGAAGTGAAGAGAAACAGGCAATACCTTCTTGCAAATGGTTCACTAGCGCGTGGGAAATCGCACCAGAGAGGGCAAAATGCAGCACGCGGAAGGATGTACGTACCTCGATGGTGGTGGTGTTGCCGAGCACGAGCGACACGTGCATGATGAGGAATCCCAGCAGGCTCACGGCGAATGCTATGTTCAGCACTGGCGAGAGGGGGGAGTGGAAAGGGGAAGAGGGGAGGATTAAGTGGCGGATGGGAGAGGAACGGAGGGGAAGAAGCAGGACGTACATAGTGGGTGGGTGTGTGAATCTGCGAATGCAGTAGGAAGGACGTCCAAGGCATAGGGGAGGGAACGAGGGGGAGGGAGGAAAAAGAATAGAGGGCATAGCAGGGAGCGGGGGCCGGCCGGGACATACCGAAGGAGAGGAAGACGGTGGCGAGCTTGGTGGCGTCGTCGCTGGCGGAGGGCGGTGTGGTGAAGAAGTCTATGAAGTGCGGCAGCAGTGCCACCGCCACCACTGCTGTCTCTACAAATGTGTAGAACTGCAGTGCAAGGACCGGCGACGCAGGGGGCAGGCGGTGACACACACAGGGAAGGGGTTGGGTGGTGATGGGGCTCAGTGGGGCGTTGGGAGAGGGGATAAGGGAGTGGGAGACGGGATTTGGAGTGGGAGAAAGCATAGGGAAAATACAAGTTGGGGTAAGCTGCGTGGAATGGGACAGAGGAAGAACGATCTGATGAAACGGGAAGTAGAAGGGATAGCCGAGGGAGGAGAGACAGGGTGCTTGGGATGATCAAGATTAGGGGTGGGAGAGCATGAAAGGAGGACGGGAAAGCAGAGCAAGAGAACGAGAGGCAGACTGACAAGGAAGAGCAGGAATTGCTTGTAGTTCTTAGCGCCAACGCAGTTGATCACCCACACGCAGTGGTGGTCCATCTTCAATATGCACCGCCCACCTGGTAGACACGTGATGGTGCGGTGGGGTGGGGAGGAGTGGAGAGGGGTAGGGTACAGGAGCGGCCGTTCAGGAAGAGACGTGATGGTGTGGGTGTGTGGAGCGAGAGGGCGCATGGGTGTGGCAGCGTGCACAAGAGAGTGAGTGCAGCGAGTGCAGCAGTGATGCGACGGAGCCACACGAGTGAGATGAGATGCACGCACACACAGGAACATAGCCATTCAAATCAAAGACAGAGTCGCAGAGGCAGCGAGACGCACAGACAGAGCAGTGGTGCGCTCGAGGCGGTTTGAACTGCAGGCACCGCTTGCACCGCCGAATCTCCACTGCCCCGCTCGCCATCCCCGCGTCCGCCCTTCCGTCTCTCCCCCCAATCATCCCTGCAACCCCTCCCCGCGGCACTGCCTGCGACTGCTGCTGCTGCTGCTGGTGGTCCTGCTGCTTCCCTCCGTTCTCCATGCCCGCCCTGCCGCCCGCGGGCCCCACAAGAGCAGCACGAGGGTCATCCATTGCTGAGCTGTCATCGTCATTATCGCGATCGTCGGATGCTGACTCGGACAGGCCGCCAGCGCTTGCCACGCTGGCAGCGGAGCCTGACCGACCAGAGTCAGCAGCAGCAGAGGCGGCGGCAGAAGGGGGGTAACTCCCAAGGGCGGCTTGCCTGTGGGTGTCTAGGGTTTGCAGCGACTGAGCCTCGAGATCATCGTCGCCGCGAAAGAAGGGATGCCAGTCGGGTGGTACACCACCAGGGTCCGTGAGCACGACGGAGAAGTAGCTCCAGAGCAGCATGCCGAGCTGGGCGGGGGGTGGGGGGGAGGGGGGAAGAGACGAGAGCGAGACGACGGAGAGAGCGAGGGAGAGAGGGGAGAGAGCGGAGGAGACAAGGGGCAAAGAGGAGGAATAATACGGATTTCACGCTGTGAATTCAACAAGTCTCGCGAGAGGCGGGTACTGCGGAACTTGGTGGGTGCATAAGCAAGCTGATGCAGACGAATCACAAGCGGGGATCGATCGTGGAAGGGTGTGACGAGGCGGGCGAGGAGGCTTACGAGGCCGTGGAAGACGGCGAGCACGAGGAACGCAATGAACGACGTGGAGCCTCCCTTCGATAACTCAGGGCCGTAACTCGCGATGACTACAGCGTAGTAAGTAACCGCGACTATAGCGAGGACGACGAGGATCATAATGGATCCGAGAATCTTCAAGCCTGTGCAGAACTTGAACGCGTTCCACGCCATCGCAAATCTCGTAGTAGATAGTAAGTTCTCCACGAGATGTAAGCCTGCTCTAGTGCCTTTGGCCCAGCTCCGTTAATTTCGACGCCCTTGGTCTCTATCTCCGATTTTTTAGACCGTACAACTGGCAGTTTCGACCTGGTGGCTACCGCACCGCCATAGCTATATTCCGCAACTGCTGCTGGTAAGGTGCAGTCGCACAGATCCCTAGGTTCCCACTTTCGACTGAACGTCAAGCGCAGCGGAACTCCCTTAGGATGATACAGCATCCAAGTTCGAATATGAAAGATTGGACAATGCAAAGCACTATACATCAGGTGGATATATGTAGCGGGAATTTTATACACTCTCACCCTTGCACATTGTTACGAGTGCAATGGAGTGAACGAACGAGAATTGCACTATCGGAGCAAGAGTACAATGAGCGAAGGCATGAGCGAAGAATATATAGCGAAACTACAGTGGTAACGGTAATGGACTGTGGTTGTCGCGCGACGGGCCTGGGACTGAGGTTGGGAAAAGTGTCGAAGCGGAGGCCCGGAGCGTGGGTTACCCGCCGAGCCGTGAAGTCGGGGTGCGATGTGCGAAGGTGGCGGGCAGATTGTCGATGCGAGGGTTGCGAGTGGTAACGGTGCTGACTGTGGTGCTACAGTGATGTACGCGTTGAGCAGGGATGCGAAGTAAGGAAAAGGAATTTTCCTTACACTACCCCCCCCCCTAAGGAGGTCCTCCTTACGAAAGTGCGTGTACATCCCTGAAATTTCGGCTGCGCAGATACTCGGTGAGGACGGGGTGGTTTTCGATTCTGTCCAGGGGAACCCAATTGTCTTCGGTGGGTGTACGGTCCTTCCAGCGGAGTAAGAACTCGATCCTTCGGGCTCCTCGAGGGTCGCGAACTCTGTGACTCAGGATTTTCTCGGGGGTGATGATTGGTTCAGTTGGTGGTCTTGTCATGCTGGCTGGGCGATTGCGTGGCAGTTGGCTCGTGGACGGGACGTAAGGGCGAAGCAGACTGACGTGGAATGAGGGGTTGACGTACCAGTCAGCAGGGAGGAGGAGGTGGGCGGTGACGGGTGTAAGCATGTGGCTTATGCGAAATGGCCCGCAGTATCGGGGGCGGAGTTTCGGGGTGATGGGCAGTCGGAGGTTCTGAGTGTCAAGTAAAACTAAGTCGTCGGGCTGGTAAGTGACAGGTCTGCGGTGGCGGTCGGCGTTGCGTTTAGCGATGATGTTCGATTTTTTTATTGCGTCTACTGCCCGGGTCCGTGCTGCTTGTAATATTTCGGCGAACTGTTGTGCTCGTGGTACTGGGTTGTCGGGATTCGGGGTCATGGGTACTGTTGGGTCTTGTCCGTAGTTTAGGTAAAATGGTGACTGTTGGGTCGTGGCGGATGGTGAGTTGTTGTACGCGAATTCGATTAGTGGCAGTTGCTGTTCCCACGTGGTCGGGTCGTCACACGTGGCCCTGATGAGCTGTTCCATGGTCTGATTTGTCCGTTCTGTCTGCCCGTCGGTTTCGGGGTGGTATGATGAACTGAACTGCAGTCGCGTGCCGAACTGCTGCCACAGGTTCCGCCAGAAGTTGCTGGTGAATTTCGTGTCGCGGTCGCTGATGATCGCCGCTGGTATCCCGTGCAGTCGAACGACGGTGGAGATGAAGAGGCGTGCTGTTTCTTCGGCTGTGATTGATTTTTTGCAGGCTGCGAAATGTGCCATTTTCGTCAGTCGATCGACGACGACCAGGATCGCGTCGTTCCCACTTGCCCCGGCTGGTAACCCCGTGACGAAGTCCATCGTCACCTGCTGCCAAGCACGCTCTGGGGGTGGTATCGGCTGCAACTGTCCCGCCGGCCGCTGTCGTGATGATTTCATGAGCTGACAAGTGGGACACGATGCCACGTGTCGTTGTACGTCGGTCAACATTTCGGGCCAGTAATAATACCGCTGGAGCTGCTGCCGTGTCTTTTCTACTCCGAAATGCACCGAGGTAACTCCGTCGTGTGCCTCCTGTAACAGTAATTCCCGTAGCAGTGTATACCCAGGCACCCAAATGCGGTCAGTCCCGGTTTTTACGTAATAGACTCCCTTTGCTGCTGCGAACTGCTGCGAGTTTCCTCCTGTGAAGAATGGATCCGTTTGGTACCCGTGGGTGAATAGGCCTGTCAGTAGCGGGCTTGTCTGGGCGAGTAGTATTGCGTGGATCTGGGCAGTGGGGCGGGTCAGTGCGTCGGCGATGTTCGAGGCTCCCTTTTTGTAAGTGACCGTGTAGTGAAAGTTGGACTCGAGGAAATCGAGCCAGCGAATCTGTCGTGGGTTGAGGTGTGGCTGTGCGCGAAGGTACTTTAGTGATTTATGGTCTGTCCGTACTGTCACGTCCGCGTCAGTCAGGTAACAGCGCCATACTTTGAACGCGTGCACGATCGCAAGCATTTCGCGGTCGTGTATCGGGTAATTTTTCTCGGGCAGATGCAGTTTTCGTGACTCGTATGCGATAGGCTGTAGGCCATTGCCGAAATCCTGTAGCAGTACGGCTCCGATGGCGATATCGCTTGCGTCGGTACCTACTTCGAATGGGCGGTGTGGGTCGGCGATGTGCAGGACGAGCGGTGAACAGAGAACATTTTTCAGGGCAGAGAAGGCAGCATGCTCTTTCTCCCCCCACGTAAAAGCGACCCCCTTCCGCAGTAATCCGTCAGTGGGGCAGTTAACCGTGCCATATCGGGGACGAACCGACGCACATAATTAACGAACCCTAAAAGGCTCTGCAGCTCCGTGATGTTCGTCGGGGGATGCCACGCTTTTACCGTATCCAGCTTCTTTGGGTCGATTTCAACTCCAGCCTCCGAAATAACGTGCCCCAAAAATTCTAACCTATCCTGGAAGAACTCGCACTTGGAACCCTTGGTCAGTAATCTGTGCTCGTCTAAAACCTTAAACACTGCTTCCAGATCTGCTAAGTGCTGCTGCTTATTGTCAGAATGTCATTGTTCTCTAGCCTGCAGTGGGGTACTCTATAGCGAGTACAACCCCTTAGGGTTTCCTATATGTATCCTGCTGCTTTCTAGTGAACCCCCTCTTCTTCTTTTGCCTAAACTTCTCTTGCCTAGCTAGGACTTACCTAGCTATGGCTCCTAACTCTACCTACTATTTTCACATGCTATCAGAGCAGGTCGATCCCCTTGGGTCGATCCTGTGGGTGGGCTCACCACCTCACTGCTTCCGCTGCTACTGCTACTCTCTGTGTCGCACGCCCCGTGGCGTGCGACGGATTTTTCATCCCGCCGCGCGCTCGGAGCGTGTGGCGGTTTTCTGCCCGCCATGCGCCCCGAGGCGCGCGGCGGTTTTCTGCCCGCCGTGCGCCCCGAGGCGCGCGGCGGTTGTCTGCCCGCCGTGCGCCCCGAGGCGCGCGGCGGGTTTCTGCCCCGTCACTCCGCGCGTCGCTCCCGGGAGGCGCTGCGACGGGCGACGGGGACCCGCGCGTCGCCCCCCGTCGCCCGTCGTGGCCTGCGCGCGGCTCGTACAGCCTGCGCGCGGCCCGTACGGGCTGCGCCAGGCCCGCGCGCGGCTCGGGCCGCCTGCGCGCGGTTCGGGCGGCTGTGCCAGGCCCGTGGGCGGCCCGTTCTTCGCTGCCCCTGCGCTGCCCGCTGTCCCCCGTGCTTCTGATGGCGCCCCACCCCTGCTGCTGCCCGTTCTCCTGAATTAGGGTTTGGGGGTGGGGGGTCTGGGGGTGCAGCTTCTGTGTGCCGTCCCCTGCTCCTCCTCCTCCTCCGTCTCCCAGTGCTGCAGCTGCCGCTGAGGGGGGTGGACCTGTTGGAGCCGTCGGAGTGGTACTAAGGGGGGTGAAGGGGGAGTGGAGCTAGGGGTGAAGCAGGGGGTGTGTGTCAGGGGGAGTGGGACTGTTTGGGGAGGTTGAACTGAGGTTGCCGTCGTGTCGCCAGCAGCACCTGTAGTCCGGGGAGTTGCTCCGGTAGCCCAGTCGCAGCCAGCTGTGCCAGTCGCCCGTGGGTCCGTTGCTCGTCTGCCGCTACTTTTAGCCGCGGAGCCAGTTACTCCAGTAGTCCGGAGCGTTGTTCCGGTAGCCGCTGTGCCAGTGTGACTCCTGTTGCCCGTGTGTCTGCAGCTTCAGCCGTCGCCTCCTATCTCCTCTCCTCTCACTCTCGCCTCCTCCTCCTCACTTGCCCTCTGCGATAGCCTCTAGCTTTGCTCATAATTGTGAACTTTAAACTATTGCTTCTTGTACTTGTGCTCAGAATGTGTGGTGACATTGTGATCCACCCTGAGCTTGTTCTGCTTTGCTTGCTCTGCTGATTACACCCCACTTTGGCTATGGGGGTGTGTCAGAATGTCATTGTTCTCTAGCCTGCAGTGGGGTACTCTATAGCGAGTACAACCCCTTAGGGTTTCCTATATGTATCCTGCTGCTTTCTAGTGAACCCCCTCTTCTTCTTTTGCCTAAACTTCTCTTGCCTAGCTAGGACTTACCTAGCTATGGCTCCTAACTCTACCTACTATTTTCACACTTATCCCGACTGTACACTAGGATGTCGTCGAGGTAAACTATTACACATTTATCTAAGAGCGGCCTAAAGGCCTCGTTCATGGTCATCTGAAAAGTCGCCGGTGCGTTGGTCAGCCCGAATGGCATCACAGTGTACTCGAACGACCCGTACCTAGTCCTGAAAGCCGTTTTGGCGCAGTCCGATGGTTCGACCCTAATCTGATGGTAACCTCCCCGTAAATCTATTTTCGAAAAAACCCGTGCTGTTCACAGTTGGTCGATCAGTTCGTCGGCGCGGGGAATTGGGTACCGCGACTTGACTGTTACCCTGTTCAGTGCTCTGTAGTCGATACACATGCGAAAACCCCCGTCTTTTTTCGGCGTGAATAGTATCGGTGCGGCGAACGGTGACGAGCTCGGTCTGATGAATTTTTTCTCTAACAGGTAATCTAGCTCCTTCCTTAGTTCGTCGAGCTCGGGCTGTGTCAGTCTGAACTGGCGCTGTACGGTTGGCTGTGCCCCCGGTTCTAATTTGATTCGGTGGTCATGTGCTCGCTGAGGTGGCAGTCCTTCCGGTAAGTCGTCGGGGAAAATCCCGGGGTATCGTTTCAACAGTTCCTGTAATTAGGGCGGTACGGCTGCCAGCAGTTTCTTGAAATCACTCGGCTGCTCTGCTTCCTCTACTACTGCGATGTCTACTGCGTACACGTCGGCTCCAGCAGCGACAGCCCGTTTCATTGTGATGGCGTTGACGTGTACCGTTGAAGACTCGGGCGACTGCCAGCGAGGTAGCTCGACCCAGTTACCACTACTTCGCACGGTGCAGCTACCCGTCGTCCAGTCAATTCGCGGGTTATACCGTCGTAGCCAATCACGTCCCAGTAAAATATCGTGCCCATCGAGTGTCGTTGCGAGCATTTCCTGTGTAAACCCGAAATTTCCCCCGCAGCGGATTTTGACTCTCTCTACCTTTTCCCGTATGGCCAGTGGCGTGCCGTCGACTAAGCGTGCGTCTATCTCCGGTAAGCAACGGTTAAGTGTCAGCTGCAGTTTTCGTGTGGTTGCGGTATTAACTAAACTGTGGCTTGCTCCTCCGTCGATAAAAATCTTCACTGCTGCTCCCTGTATTTTCCCGTGGATCAGTACTGGGCAATCCGTCGCTGTACCCTCCTTATTCGTCCGAGTCCGATCGATAGCATGAATCGGTACTGTGACTCGGTGAGGGTCGGTGGGGTTGGGCGAGCAGGCAGTCTCGTCAGTAGTTGGCCCGATTCCTACTGACTGCTGGCGTTTCCCTGCTTTGGAGACTCCCTCCCCTGCTCTGCTCCGCGGCGCCTTAGCTCCTCTGGGCATTCGCTCTTGCGATGGCCCGGCCTGTTGCAAGCAAAGCAGCGCCCCTTAAACGGCGCGGCAGCTGCATTCATCGCAACAGCGTGTACAGTGGCGTGCTCGATCGGTCCCCGAGGACGATGTCCATAGTAGGACCCCGGTCTCGGACGGCGTAAAATGTCGATTTTCTCGGCGAGCGCGAGAATCTCGTTGAAGTTCGAGAGCCGGCGTAGCATGATTTCGTGCGAGATATCCGGCTTCAGCCCTCCGACGTAACGGTCCACCCGCTCCGCTTCGTGCATGTAGCCGACTTGCTCGCATAATGCGAGAAAACCACTCGTATAGTCTTGAACCGATCCAAGCTGCCGCCAAGTGCGCAATCTCTGACGCGCCGAAATAGAAGCCGCGATCGGCTCGAAGCGCGCCCGAAGCCCTGCGCACCACGCATCCCACGTGCTGTATTGGGCAGTCTCGCAGAATGAACTCCAGGTGACAGCTGGGCCCGTGGGCCCTTCCTCTTGCGACGGTGGCTCATAGGCGCGTGGCGACGTCACGATGACTCGCCACCAGTCCATGGCGGGGCCCCTTAGCAGCGAAACGGCATACCGAATCTTCGCTGCGTCCGACTCGACGTAATTTGCGTCGAAGAAGACGTTCATCGTGAAGACCCACGATTGAACCGTCGGACCTCCACGCTGGCTCGGGTCGAAGCAGGGCGGGCATTGCGGCTTGAGTGGCGTTGGTGCCATAATGGTCTGTTCGCCACTTGTCGCCGCGAACTCCACGTGCCGACGGGCTTCGCGAGGCTCCCGCGGGCTTGGTGCGACCCTGTTTCCTCCCATGCCAGGCATCGGCTGGGCGGCGCCATCGCTGGCTGCGCCTGAGCGCTGTCCCACGCTGTTGTTTTGTGTTGGTGTGCCGGACGAGATGACGATCGGCTCGTCTGATTGTGCAGATGCATTTGTCGGTGCGTGTGGTGGCGCTGGGGTGTTCATCATTGATTGCTGACGCGCGGAGTCACGTTCCGCCGTGAGCGTCGCAATTTCGAGCGCCGAATCTTCAAGTTGGCGCACCAGACGGTCGAGCTGCTCCTGCGTCAATGTGGCGAGCGTGAATTCGGCCATGGCGGGGGTGTCGGGCGAGCTCAGCGAGAGCCTCGGTCGTGGCCGTGCGTGCTTACGGGAGAGCACTACGAGCGGCGGTGCTGTGTCGCTGAGGGACGTCTACCCCCCCCAAAAAATTGAGATAGTGGGGAAGCGAAGGTGTGGGTGCGGTCCGAGAGGAGATCGTAGGCTCTGAATACCAAGTGTTACGAGTGCAATTGAGTGAACGAACGAGAATTGCACTATCGGAGCAAGAGTACAATGAGCGAAGGCATGAGCGAAGAATATATAGCGAAACTACAGTGGTAACGGTAATGGACTGTGGTTGTCGCGCGACGGGCCTGGGACTGAGGTTGGGAAAAGTGTCGAAGTGGAGGCCCGGAGCGCGGGTTACCCGCCGAGCCGTGAAGTCGGGGTGCGATGTGCGAAGGTGGCGGGCAGATTGTCGATGCGAGGGTTGCGAGTGGTAACGGTGCTGACTGTGGTGCTACAGTGATGTACGCGTTGAGCAGGGATGCGAAGTAAGGAAAAGGAATTTTCCTTACACACATCTATTTTATATCTTTTTCCGATCTCCACGCCTTGTTCCGCTATGAGGTGACTTGACAGAGCGTGTGCCAACGCTGTCGAATTGCAGACTCAGCTTTCTCGAGTCAGCACGAACACATCAGAAGCCGCAAGCCAATCAGCGCCGAAGACCGACATTTAAAACCTGTAAGTCCACAGCGCGGTTCGCAATATTGACTCTGTATCGAGGGCATTCGCATACCGTCACATCAGTCCATGTCGCATGTCAAATGGTTGCGCGATTCCAAATGCAGGCGCACATTTCAATGGATCAAGCCAATTTGCCCCCACCCAACCCAGCATTCCTTGACTGGCTTCCGCCTTGCATTGCATCTCCCTCCCTCCTGCCACTCCACCCGCCCGACAAGTACACAGACATCTGGCTCGCTGCCGCCACCGCCATCGTTTGTTCACCCTGGGACGAGCAACAGTTCCACCCTGGGTTTCTTCCCGCTTCGACCTAGAGCACGCGGCACCTACTACCTACATCCAAGAGCATTTCTCGCATCGATTCATTTCATTCCATCCTGAAAAAAAACCTCGCGAAGTTCACGTTAGTCCCACCCACCAAGCTTGTCTCCAGTAGTTATCCTCGACAGTCGAAGCCAGTTTAATTTAGACAGGCGGCCACCTTAAAAACCAGGCTAAAATCTCGTCTTCACTACCTAACCAGAACACACTCATGGTCTCGCCAGTCGCGGCAGAGCGAGGCGCAGCGAATCAAACATGGCAGTCACTTCGTGAGTCAGTAGTGCCGGCGGCCACAGAAACCAAGTCCGTGGCTGACTCCAAGTCGGCAATCTCGAGGGTCGACTCGTGGGTCGACGACCACCTGCTGGTGCCACCTCCCCCAGCCGAGCCCGATAAGAGCGACGGCGACTTCGGCGACGTCGCAGATGGTGTCGCCGACGGCGGTGTTCCCGCGGACCCGCTCACGCGAAAGGTCGCAGCGTTGGAGGTGGAGAACTGCGAGATGACCGGGCGAGTCGCTGGGCTGGAGGCGATGCTTCGCGAAAAGGAGCAGGAGTCGCACGAGCTGCGTCGTCAGCTGCTGGCGATCACTCGCGCGCTGGAGGAGGGCAGCCACGCCGACACGCTGTCGCGCGCGGAGCTCCTCAACCAGGTGCTCAGCCTAGCCAATCAGGTGAAAGAACTTTCCTACGAACGCGCGGCGCTGCTCAGCGCGCCTGGCGGCGTGGCATTTAACTACGGCCTGGGGGGCGGGTCCAAGAAGTCCGTCGCTTCCGAAAAGGCCCCCGAAGAACATCCCGTCGGAGAATTTGCAGGTGTCGAGGAAGGAAGTTCTGCAGATATTGAGGACAAGCCGGATGAGCCAGCAGCAGCGGATGCTGCGCGGGTGTCGAGCTACCGCCCTCCGCCGGCAGAGGCTCTGGTACCCGCGTCTGCTGCGGAAGAAGAGGATCATGGCACGGAGCCGCTGTCCTCGGCGCCGTCAATGGCGCCGTCGATGACGCCTTCGCGGCCGGGCACGTCTCTCTCGTCGCGATCGCAGCAGCTCATTCCGCGATCGTACACCATGCCTGTCCTCGCCCCGTCGGGACCGTCGTCCCAATCACGCCTGTCGGCGCTCCCCATGTCAATAGTACCGTACGATCCTGCTACTGCCGCCGAGAGCATGGCAAATGTAACGGCGCCGATTGCAGGGGCTATTGTTCCGTACCAGCCGCCGGACGGTAGTCTAGTGGCAGGGGAAGGGGAAGGCTCGGAAAGCGCAGTTGTAACGTACATGCCCCCAACGGGCCCCAGCGTTCGATCCAATCCGTTTGACCGGCCGAACACGTACGAGATGAACCGCCCGCAGGCATCGGGGCCGAGCGCGAAGCCGAGTCGCGTGCAGAGCTTCGTGCCGTCGACTGTCCCTGAAACGGCAGCTGAAGGAGCCACGTCCGGCCTCGGCGCAATGCGCGGGGCGATTGCGACGCTGATTCGTTGCGGGACGCGTCCAGAGGTCCGCGAGATTCAGATTCGGCACCTGGAGAAGCTGAACCGGTCCAAGCGGGTGACCCCAGAGGATATCTTCGCTGCTATTCAGTCGAGATGCCTCACCATTCTGGCGCAGGTGAGAACTGCATCTGGTGTTTCATCGCTAGCCAGACAGGCATCGCCTACATTCTTATAAAAGGTTTTCGTGGTGTTGCATCCGGCTAGCAGGAATGTTCCATGCTGACTGCATGCTGACATTTCTTTTTCTCTCTCTTGTCTTGGTTTGTACCCTGGTCAGGTGGAACCTCCTTCAGGATTTAACATTCTGGGCGTGAAGGTCAAGATTCCCCGCAAACTCACCTCCTTCTCTTCCTCCATCTCCCTCACCTCTACCTCCTCCGCCTCTACCACTCCTTCCAACATCCGGGTCACCGACTCTGAAGCCAAGTTCCTCACCAGCCCCTCGGTAGAACTCGTGGCATTCCTGTTTGCTGCCGTTGTCACGCACGCATGGGCGCCGATTGAGTGTTTTCCGGCCATAATGGAGCAGATGGGCAACATGTATGTGCGGCGGCTGCTCATTGTTGATTTCCTGGATGCTGCCTTCAAGCGCGTGGGTCGCCTGGGAGTGGATGCCCTGGTGCAAGATCTACGGGGAATAGACAGGCTGCTGGGAGTGAAGGAGGAGAGGCTGCCTTCAGTCAAGGAGCTTAGCAACTGCAAGGTGAGTTGCTTTGGAAGAGGTGACGTTGCTTTGATCTGTCAGTGAACTTATGCTCTTGGAACCTGGTTTGGTTGTGCAGGTTCTAGTCATGATTCATAGCAAGGCTGGCCTCCAGTGGAAGAAAAAATGGGTTTTTGGGAAGTAGGACTAGCATGGATTCTGTTTATGTAGATTGTATGGAAGATTTATGTTGCTCACTTAGTATTGTGTCTGGGGCTGTATAGATAGCACGTTTTTTAGGTGTGGGAATTCTCTTTAATACACAGATATCAAATCAATATTAAACTATCAAACTGCTTTGGAAAGCGCATGCTATACCGTATCACTGTTATGTGTGCAATTGAACGAGCGACTGAAGATTGCACTAGAGTCAATCTAGTACAAATGTGAGTGAAGGTATTGAGCGAACATTTATAGTGAAAACAGTAAACAGTATCGCGGTGCGTGCATGATAGCTGCTTGCATCGAGATTTGGGCTTGTCCCGAAGTGTAGGCAAACTCGGCAAAGTCTAGCAGTGCGAGGTTTGGCAAAAGTGACACGATGTGGCGAACACCGTTAGGCGGTAACGAGCGAATAAACGGTTGGGTCTTGAAAGTGTTGCCTAGGTGCGCAGAAAGGAATCCGGAAATTTTTATTTACCATCACGCACTTGGCATATATCAGCATAGAGTCTCCTACTTTTTCTTGCTGGCTATATGAGATGGCTTGTGCACACTTGTCCTATATCAGCATAAAATTTCCTACTTATCATTCCTGGTTAGTATCAGATGGCTTCTGTCTCCGATATAAGGAGTTTCGTTGGTGTCAGGTCGGGTATTGCAGGTCTGTTGTAGCTAGTTTGGCGCGGGCGGGACGAATGTGTCAACGAGAGCTCTTCCCTTTTTAGCAGGCGCCACGAGAAGCCCTGACTCCGATTCCAAACCTGTAGTCAGGGCGAGTGTCTGAGTCTTCCCGAGACTCCCGAACATCGAGGCGCTTCGAAGCTGTACCCCGTCCCAAACCAGGGCTCACCACTGAAGTGTGGGTCACGCCCCAACCAGACCTCTTTCTTTATGGAGGCTCGGTGCTCTGACGGCTGGTTCGTGCGTCAAGCGAAATCTGCGAGGGGCGTCATCGCGACAGCGTCCATCCATCACGCTGCACACGCTGTGCGCTACCGGCCCATCCTCCTGTCAACCGTGCAGAGGACATTTTTGAAGGGTGCGTGCGGGGAGGCTGCTTGCGCCAATTCTCAACCCGTCCCGACCACAACGCGCAGAAATTGTTCCGTTGGACAGTGTGGCGTTCCGTTACGTTCGGTCAAGGCTCGTCTCCTCGTCGTTCGCCTGAGCCACGAACAGACAGACCGCCCCAAGCCCGTCACCTTCGGCCCCCCGCCTTGAGATTATCCTCGCCAGCTGCCAGGGTTGGCGAGGCGGCTCTCCCAAACCAGAGTAGCAGCAGCGTGCGGGCATCCCTGAGCTCCCTCGATATCCTCTCCCTGTCCATTTGACATTCCCTCAGCTCCAACTCTTGGGATTATACTGCTCGCAGCCACTCAACTCAACCTAATGTTGTTCCGTCCGAGTTAGCTGTGATCGAGGATTCAGTTATCGTACTAGTTCTTAGGATAGAGCCAAGTAGGTAGTGCCTGACTTGGGTTTTCACTTCTTCGGTCTTCCCTCGGGAAGGCATGGAGCACAACACGGGTCTCGTGGCGGGGAGCCACAACCGGAATCAGCTCGTGGTCATCCGCAAGGAGAATGAAAATGTAACATTTTCCTGTGAACCTCCACGCTTTCTTAGGCAGTGACTTCTCGTCCACCCCATCGTTCTTCAGTAGTCAGTTGGCCGAATAGTACTTTCTTTTTTGACTTAGAACTCGCCGTTTGCGTCCCTGTGCCATTGCAGAGCGCCAAGAGCGGCTTCAACCCGTCCGTCTGCCAGATTTGCGGCGACGATGTCGGCCGCACGGTGGAGGGCGACCTCTTTATTGCCTGTAACGAGTGTGCCTATCCCGTGTGCCGCCCCTGCTACGAGTACGAGCGCAAGGAGGGTAGCAGGGCTTGTCCTCAGTGCAAATCCTTCTACAAGCGACTCAAAGGTAAATACACCCTAATCATGCCCGACTGTGCCTCACCGATTCATGCTCCGCCTCGTCCTTCTTCGACAGGCTGTCAATTGCTAAGGAGCCTGAGTTCTTGCGTTGGTATTTGCAGGGAGTCCTCGGATTGACACGGATGACGACGAGGAGGATACGGATGACGTGGAGCAGGAATTCGGCATCTCGGAGAACAGCAGCGGTCCGGATGATGGCACCCGTCGCGGCATGTCGCAACAGCACGGGGATCCTCAGCACCAGGGCCAGCAGCAGATGCACCCGGATGGTTCTAACGCGTACGACTCGTACCACGTCGGATCGCACTACCCCATGCTGACGTCAGGGCAGGTGGACCCCGATATGAGCATGTCGTCAGATTACAACAACGCGGGCGCCATGGTCCCCGCCTCCGCGCTCCCCAACCAGGCGTACAACTACTCGCAGAGCAACGCCGGCGACATGTCCAGTAAGCCTCAACTCCTCCCCACCCCTTCGCTCCCTTTCCCGCTCCAATCGCTACCCTGCTTCCGTACGCATGCAGCGTTCTTCAAGTAAATACCCATCGACTCCCTTGTCTCCGCCACTCTCATCATCGTCGTCGTCTTCTCTCCCCCCGTGCGCACGTTCCCCCTTTCCGCGTTCCCGCAATCTTACCACCGCCCGGTTCCCGTCCGCGTCCCCCTTTCCCCCGCCCTCCCCCCGCATTCCCCCGTAGTGGACGTGCGCGCGCTGGACCCGAGCAAGGACCTGGGCGACTACGGGTACGGCAGCGTGGTGTGGAAGGACCGCCTCGAGGCGTGGAAGCAGCAGCAGGGCCGCGGCGGGCCCATGGGCGGCATGGGCATGAACGGCGCGCCGCCCGCGCCGCCCGTCCCCGGCCCGGACCCCATGGACACGGCCGACCTGCCCAACATGGACGAGTCGCGCCAGCCGCTTTCGCGGAAGGTGCACTACCCGTCGTCGCTGATCTCCCCGTACCGGCTGATCATCATCATTCGGCTGTTCGTGCTCGCCTTCTTCCTGCGCTGGCGGTGCCTGAATCCCGTGGATGGCGCGTGGTGGCTGTGGCTCATGTCCGTCATCTGCGAGGTCTGGTTCGCCTTCTCCTGGATTCTCGATCAGTTCCCCAAGTGGATGCCCATTAAGAGAGAGACGTACCTCGATCGCCTCGCGCTTCGCTACGAGCGGCGCGGCGAGCCGTCGCAGCTCGCGGCCGTCGATCTGTTCGTGTCGACGGTGGATCCGGCCAAGGAGCCGCCGATTACGACGGCGAACACGCTGCTTTCGATCCTGTCCGTTGATTACCCGACGGAGAAGGTGTCCTGCTACGTGCACGACGATGGTGGCGCCATGCTGACGTTCGACTCGATGAGCGAGTGCAGCGAATTCGCGAGGCGCTGGGTGCCGTTCGCGAAACGTTACAAGATCGAGCCGCGGTGCCCCGAGATGTACTTCACGCAGAAGGTGGACTACCTGAAGGACAAGGTCGACCCGCAATTCGTCAAGGACCGCCGCGCCATCAAGGTAGCAAAGAGCGACGAGCGAGAGACGAGGAGCGAGTAGGGGTAGGGAGGTCGGGGTATGGAAGAAGAGGAAAAAGCGTGTGGGACGAGACGGGGAGCAAGAGCATGGGCGAAATCGTTGTTCAGTTGACCTTCTGCCTCGCTGCGTCCGCTCACACGCGTCTCTCTTTACAAGCGTACGCCTGTCTTATTTCGAGTGCGCCCGTCTCACTCCCCGTGTGCGTGCAGCGCGAGTACGAGGAGTTCAAGATCCGGATCAACATGCTGGTGGCCAAGTCGCAGAAGGTGCCCGACGAGGGCTGGACCATGCAGGACGGCACGCCGTGGCCCGGCAACAAGTCGCGCGACCACCCGGGCATGATCCAGGTGTTCCTCGGCCCCAGCGGCGGCACGGACGTCGAGGGGAATATGTTGCCGCGCCTCGTGTACGTCAGCCGTGAGAAGCGCCCCGGATACAACCACCACAAGAAGGCCGGTGCCATGAACTCCCTGGTGAGATATTGCCTGGTCCGAGCCGAAGGTCCTTGCCCGCTCGCTTGTCCTTGTCCTTGTCCTTGTCCTTGTGTCTCGGGTCTCCCCCCATGTGTCGCCCACGCACTTGATATCATCTTCGCTCCTCGCTTGCGCGCTGGTCTTTTCCACTCACTTCACCCCCGCACCTCCCCCAATCCTCCACAAACGCTCACCCGCAGATCCGTGTGTCAGCGGTGTTGACGAACGCGCCGTACATGCTGAATCTGGATTGCGATCATTACATCGCGGACAGCAAGGCGCTGCGCGAGGCCATGTGCTTCATGATGGACCCCAACGTCGGCAAGAAGTGCTGCTACGTGCAGTTCCCGCAGCGATTCGACGGCATTGACCCCAACGATCGATACGCCAACAACAACACCGTCTTCTTCGATGTAAGCCTCGCGCCCGCCTCTGAAAGAAGCGCTACATTGGTGTTGAAGCGTTTCAGGACTGTTACGTGACGCTCTCCACATCGCATGCCATACCGACTCTCCACTCGTCACCTGCTACCCACCCTGAACCGTCGCCTCTGCCTCTTACCCAACCTCTCCTGGCCCAATCCCTCTCCCCCTCCCCCCACGCAGATCAATCTGCCCGGGCTGGATGGCATTCAGGGGCCGTGCTACGTGGGTACCGGATGCTGCTTCCGCCGGCGCGCGCTGTATGGGTACGATCCGCCCAAGCCCAAGAACAAGCGCAACAAGTGCGGCGTGCTCTGCTCCTGCTTCTCCTGCTGCGGCGGCGGCGGGCGCGGGGAGAAGGGCGGGCGCAAGGGGCGCAAGGGCGACGAGGACGAGGGGACGCTTCCGCTGTACGACGGCGAGGAAGGTACGCTGACGTGGATGCTGTGCTGTCATCGATTTCATCCTTGCCCCTCCTTCGCCCCATCCATGAAAGTCCTACTCTCTCCTGCCATGGCATGTGGCTTCTCTCCTGTTAGGCCATTCTCCCTGCCCTTCCCTTCCCTCGCTAGGGCCTCACTCTGTCCGTTGTGTCCCTCCCTCCTCCCTTTCTGACAGTGGGTGAGGGCGACAGCCTGGTGGCGCTGAAGAAGTTTGAGAAGAAGTTCGGGCAGTCGCCCGTGTTTGTGCTCTCCACGTTCCACGAGGATGGCGGCGGAGTGGCGTCCGCCAGCCCGGGGTCGACGCTCAAGGAGGCCATTCACGTCATCTCGTGCGGCTATGAGGAGAAGACCGAGTGGGGCAAGGAGGTGCGTCCGTGCTGCTTCTGCTGCTGTTGACGCTCTCTCACTTCTCTTTCTCCCTGGTTTTAACACTCTCTCTTCCAAAAGCGCATTGTCTCCCTCCTCATCAACCGTCCCTCTCTTCCTCTTCTCGTCCCTTGCTCTCCCTCCCTGCAGCTTGGCTGGATCTACGGGTCAGTCACAGAGGATATTCTCACGGGCTTTAAGATGCACTCCCGCGGATGGCGCTCCATCTACTGCAAGCCCAAGCGCCCCACCTTCAAGGGAGGCGCGCCCATCAATCTGTCCGACCGTCTGCAGCAGGTGCTTCGCTGGGCTCTGGGCTCAGTGGAAATCTTCCTCTCGCGCCATTGCCCCATCTGGTACGGCTGGAAGGGCAACAACCTCAAGGTTCTGCAGCGGCTGTCGTACACCAACACTGTGGTGTACCCGTTTACGTCCTTCCCGCTGCTAGTCTACTGCACCATTCCCGCCATCTGCCTGTTCACAAACAAGTTCATTGTTCCCGCGCTGGACACCACTTCCACGCTATACTTTATCGCTCTCTTCATGACCATTTTCGCCACGGGTCTGCTGGAGATGCGGTGGAGCGGCGTGGGCATGACGGACTGGTGGCGCAATGAGCAGTTCTGGGTGATTGGAGGCGTGTCGGCGCATCTCTTCGCCGTGTTCCAGGGCCTGCTGAAGGTCCTCGCCGGTATCGATACCAACTTCACGGTCACGGCGAAGCAGGCGGAAGATGGGGAGTTTGCAGAGCTTTATCTGTTCAAGTGGACTTCTCTGCTCATCCCGCCGCTCTTCCTGCTCATCATCAACTTCCTTGGGATTGTCTGCGGCGTGGCGACGGCCATGAACACGGGCGATGGCAACTGGGGCCCGCTGTTTGGCAGACTCTTCTTCTCCTTCTGGGTCATCATGCATCTGTATCCCTTCATGAAGGGTTTGGGCGGGCGCAACCAGGCGATTCCCACGATTGTCATTGTGTGGTCGGTGCTGCTCGCGTCCATCTTCTCGCTGCTCTGGGTTAAGATTGACCCCTTCTCTTCTACGGAGCCCAACCCAAGCGATAACCTGCAGCAATGCGGCGTGTCGTGCTAGGTGGAGCCATGGCTTGCTTGCTTAGGTGTACTGCCGTTTAATCGGCAGATTACGATAGGTAGAAGCAGACGCTAGGAGTCAGGTTATTGGAGCAGCGCAGTGTTGCTTCTTTTCTGTTCCATTTGCTGCTAAGCTTGCCTACGAACAATATAGGTGCCTGGGCAATGCCCAGCTGACAATGGTACCGTAATGCAGTAGCCTTTGAAGACCTGACTCTGTATCTTCGGGTGTATTTGAGCCTCATAATGAACGATTCAAGTCCATGGAACTTATAAAGGCAAATGCTGGTTGAAGAGAAGAAAACATAGTTCGAAGTGCGCTACTGTAGTACCATAGCATACCATACGCAGATTAGCGCATAACCAACACGCGAAAAAACGCATCTGTACAAGTCAAATTCAGTTGGCGTCATCACTGGTTCATCCTACAAATCAAAGCTATCAAGTCATGCATTCAATGCAATGCACTTCCAATTCAGTACAACATTTCTGGCAGGGGTACTGGTACTAGTACAGAACTGCCTGAGCAGATCAAAAGCAGTGTTGTGTGCGTCATTGACCTTAGGAAAAGCATCTATGAAGGGCAGCGGAGACAGGCGGCAACCACCGAGCCCTTGCTCCATGCAACGACCCGTTCCTTTGCTTCTTCCCCACGGCACCTGCCTCCTGCCCTCCAGCTCCCCTCCCAGCTTCCCCAATCTTGTGGACAACACTGGTTAAGGCTTGCACAGCCCCTTCTCCCCTTGCTGCTGCCCCTGCTGCTGCAGCTGTGGCAACAGAGCTAGTGCTCTGGCTAATGTCAGTGCTCGTTTTCACGGCCTTATCAGTACTGCTGGTGCCATAGGCACTGTTATTGAGCGCACTGCTGGCTCCACTGCCGGATGTAAGCGATCGGCAGACAACTGCTGGTGTGTCACTGTCTTCGCTAAGAGTAACCGGGCTAGAGCTCTGCACCCGGTGTGCGTGGTTGCTGTCGGGAGACAAGGCGAAAAATCTGGAGAGCAGTTGTGAAGGAGAGGAAACGAGAGGAAGGCGAGAGGGGGGAGATTGCCGGGGAGGTGGCGCCGCTGGGAGGGGCAGTGCAGAAGCTACTGGGGGCAGCAGGGTAGCGTGTGGCAGCAGCAGGGCATCGTGTGGCGGCAGCAGCAGAACAGTGTGAGGCGGCGGCAGCAGCGCAGTGTGAGGCGGCAGCAGGTTCAGGAGAGGGTACCCAGCGCCAATCGACAGGGGTATAGGGGCAGAGCTCAGGAAGCGCATTCACGCTCACCCCACGGCGATGCCCAGGCTTGCACGAGGCACCAGACGAGGAGGAACGTGCAGGAGCACCTCGTGGTGCACCTGCTGAGCCACCTGCTAGGACACCTGCTGAGGCACCTGGCGGGACACCTGAGGCACCTGAAGGAGAACATGACGCCTGTTCGCTCTTCCGCGGCGGAGCGCCATCTCTGTCCGAGCTATTTTCGCGGCCGTTTGGGTCAAAACGGCCGCTGCAGCCGCCATGGCTGGCGTCTGGCGGCCCGTACTCGCCCAGGTCGCCACAGCTGAAGCTGCGCCTGTGATCTTCCGCCGACCAGTCGCGGCTGCGCGCAGTCTCCGCCGCCAGCACCACCACGGCCTGCGATTCCGGGTGGCGGAAGCTCTGCCTGCGCCACTCCGCCACGGAGCGCGCCAGCTCCGCGTTGGCCTCCCGCGCCATGCGGCGGAGGTGGCGGCGACGGCGGCGGCGCATCTCGTTTTCGTTGCGGATGTGGTGGTCCGCGGAAACATCAGGCGCAACCATGCCCTGGTGCGCCAAGTGGGTGATTTCATCTTGGGGAACAGCGCGCCAGTCAATAGCGGGGATGGGGCAAACAGTAGTGGCGTCCATTGCACCGGGGTGATAGTGCTGTTCTTCTGACACGGATTCCGGAGAGTGGCGCTCAAAACACGAATTCCAGAAAAACCGAGAGTCTAAACTGCAGTACGACGACGACGACGAGGACAAGGCAGGCGGCGAGGTGAAGGCACGAATTCCGGAAATTACTTTCGAGTCAGAATGGGCTAGCAAGGTCAACACACGGCATGGCTGGGCGAGATAAACATAAAGAGCTTCCTCATTCCGGAGATCTCCTAAAACGGCACAGGACGAGCTGGGAGGGATGTGTGTCGAGTCGAATCGCCCATCAGCCCTCAGACGAGGTGAGCTCCTCCAACGTCTCAGTGACCGCGACGGATGGGAACGACGCGAAGATTCATTAACAAGTAACGAAAATCGGCTCAAGACTCAAGAGCGTCGGGTAGGTGACATCGACATCTTTACGTTCGCCTCAGTCCCTGTATGGTAAATGGGGAAAGGGAACGGAACGCCTGAAACAACAGCAGAATCGATGAGCCATAGCTCACGTTGGCGAGTTGCGATGTTGGATCGCCATTGCATGATGCACGCACGTGCGACGCCGTGCACCTGTTGGCCGTTAGTTTGGCGTTGAAGATATTCGTGTTATAGATTCGAGGTCACAGCCTACGGCAGGTAATGTAATGACGACGCCACCGCATGATTCTTTCGACGACATTATGTGGCTCCCGTCGAAGAGCGGTGATTCGGAGATACACGGGTCCAGACAGCCGGCCATAAATGGAATTTAAAAATATTTTCAGCAACAGCTGGCTGCACAGCGAAGAAAGTGAGGTGACGCCACTGACCATGGTTGCATTGCAGGGACGAGGACGAAGGAAACGACGGGTGAGAGCAGACAGACTGTGCAGAGCAGACAGCGGAATGAACAAGAGAAAGAAGGGAATGGGGTACGGTTGGGAGGGTTGAGTTGAGGCGGAAGCGGAAGGGGAAGGGGAGCGCTGGCGGGAATCAGCACGTTACAGCGGAGCTGAATGATGAGCTCGAGGTGGCATGTGGGGGTTCCGTAAGGTTGGGCAGGTGGTACAGTAAGTGTACAGTACAGTCGATGCTCAGCCTATGACAAAACATTTGCTCCTCACAATTAGAAATTTAGTCACTCGCGAACGTTTTGCCCGTGAGTGACTAAATTGACCATTGTACTCGGGGTACAGTCACCAAGTTGAGGAAGAAAAACATCTACAGTACATAAACAACAACGGTTGCCCGTCATCAGAGAAGTTAACCTGGTTACGAAATTAAAACCCTTGACTCGATTCACGTTGCAATTTCATATTACTGTCACATTTTTGCCCGTGGCGACAAGGGCGAATGTGGCGAAACACCACAAACCCGTTTCACGCACATGCCGTCCGCCTACCTGGTGTTCTTGAAATGGGCACCGACTGTATTTGTGTGATGCCTATGGAGATTCGTGTAATACACGTGCAGATATGGATATCTCCGACTGTAAGCACTGTGCTGTTGGCTTCTGAGAAGCGGAAGGGCCGCGGAGACGAGTGAGTGTATTTTCACTTTATGACTGCTTAAAGGCGGGCTTCCGTTGATTGATTATTAGGCTCTGAATGTTTTGTTGTCTACGAGATGCCAAGCCACCATAAAATAGGCTGTGTGAAAATAGCAGCCAGGTAGTTTCACGTGGTTTGAAACACTTTGCAAGTAGCCCCTACATGGTACGAGCATGTGAGATTATTCTGTGACCTGGTCTACACATGCAGATTTGTAAGACAAGGACACTTTCAATCTGTTTCAAGCAAATAACATCTAACTCTATTCGGTTCAGCCTTGAGCTGAAGGACCAACAATGTCTCACAATATGTGCATAATACACCTGCAGACCAAATGCTGCAGTATCACGTATGCGACCAATGTCACAATATCTGCTCATATTGTGCCCTGTAGTCGTGTTTTCTGATCATATGTGCATGCTTAACCCTCAAACGGTGTTTTGGAATGATGAGTGCTTGGGTGTGGGTGTTGCTATGGATTTGCTAGGCACAAGCAGCAACAGTGGCGGACCTAGGAGGCAGGAGGCAGGAGGGAGGAGGCAGGAGGCAAGGACAGTGGAAAGTGGACGTGGGTGGCCTGGTGGTGCCAACAAACGAGAAGGTGATTCATTCACTCACACCGGGCATTGTCTATTCAATGGTTCACTCGTTGCCTGCAAGTAATGGAGGTGCGGGGAGACAAGACAGCATGGTCACATGAAGAAATGGTCATGTTAAGGAATGATCACACAAAGGAATGGTCAGACTCGTACCTACCTACACACTCTGCGTGGAAGCTAGCATCATGGAGAAAAGCGTGCAACGAGCAAGAGAATGGGAGACATGGGCAGAACAGAGAAAAACACCCCCGAAAAATGTATGGCGTGGAAGAATGGCGGGACTTACAAGGGAGACGAGGAAGGGCAGCAGAGGTGGAGGGAGAGGAGGGGCGGAAACGTCAGGTAGAGCTGCTGGAGCGCAGGTGAGTGACCTTGCCTATCGCCACCGTCTTGCCTGGCAGGGGGAGGGGGAGCGGGGCAGGGGGATGGGGAGAGGGGCAGGGAGTTGGGAAGATGTGAGGAGGAAAAGCTTAAGGCAGAGCTGCTGGAGCGCAGGTGAGTGACCTTGCCTATTGCCACTGTCTCGCCTGGCGGGGGGAGTGGCGTGGAGGGGGATAGGAAGAGGGGGAGAGAGGTGGTAAGACGTGAGGCGGAAGATTGTCAGGTAGAGCTGCTGGAGCGCAGATGAGTGACCTTGAATATTGCCACTGTCTTGCCTGGCGGGGGGGAGTGGCGTGGAGGGGGATAGGGGAAGAGTGAGAGGAACGGGAGATGGGGAGAGGCGAGGGAGCGAAGGGCATGAGAGGGGTGAGAGGCGGATATGGGTGAGCAGTGTGGGAAAATGCAGTTTGCACACACAGCATCATGCACAGCATGGCATTTTGCATGCACGGGAGGGAACAAGAAGCAGCAACGCTGGGTGTGCAAGGCAGGGCAGCGCGGGGATGAGAATGGTGTGTGTGTGTGTGTGTCTCAAAGGCCACTCACCCTCGTCGCGCAAAGTGAAGCGGCCGAGCTGAGGGAAGTCTGAAAACTTCTCCACACAGATGGGGTCGCTCAC